ACTTGTGACCGTCCCCCACCCCCACCTACTCACCCCTCAACGAAAAATAGCTGGAATGGACTAGTGTTTCAGCTATCAATATTTTTCATTACGAAACCCTTCTTGACCCACCCGCCCATGAACGATTTTTTTCTCGTTTCGTGTTAAAGATACTCAATCTGTTAAAGATAGATAATTATGGACGGCCCCTAACGTGCCAGGTTAAAAATGAATGGACCGTAGAAGATTGTTAGTGATATCACACGATCAGAACAGGTGACAACCAACACTACATGGCTGTATACTTGATGTGCTGCATTTACTGGGTGCAATGCAGGGAGTTGTAGCATCTAGGGAGACGACACAGGCGACTGTAAAGCTAAATGACATGGGGTTCAACCCAGGGGTTCCTGTTTCAGCCACCCTTGGGGCACCATTGGGCAGATCTATACACGCTCGTACATGGTATTGCTAACCTGGGCCGTTCTCAGGGTCAGTAGGTCAATGCCGTGATCGCGGGTTGCACAGATCACGGAAAACCTCCAAATCCTGACCCAAAATTCTATAAAGTATTGTGTAGTCTCCCTACAGTGTAGGTGCTATGACTCCCTGGTGCGATGTACCTGCTGGTAAATAGACAAATTGCAACCAGGCCATAATTCGGATAGAGCAGACGATCCTGTCCTGGACCCTGTTCCACATTCAAAGTATCTAGACTCATATAGTGAGGGAGGAATATTGTGGTACTGACTCCGATTTTCATGCGCTAAGAAATTATCAAGTACATTGTATATGTAACTGTAAGTGATAATCACTCAAAGTACGAAGCTAACAGTAATATTCACTGGTTAGAGGGAAAGGCACAAACGGGAAAGGTCTGAAGAAAAATTGACTGTCACCACCAGGATTCGAACCAGGGACCTTCACTTGAGGCCAGCGATGCTCTAATCACTGAGCTAAGGTGTAGCCGTCATCCCAGCCGAGATCGTTCAACATTTTCTTCAGACTTCGTAACGCACACTAACAAGTCAACATCAGCTAATGGTATATGTACTCTTTTTCGATTGTACATGCAAGCTCTACCTTGTGATGTTGAGCTCTCTTCGTTTGGTGGGGCTACTCCGATCGTCTAATGTGAACCACAGTCCACCTACAATTCTACATTTGCAACGTTGTCCAATGTGCATCGGCACGCATTGTACATAACTGTTACAGCAAAGTGTAGATTATCCGCACCCGTCGGGCGCACGCTTTCTCCAGGGGGTTCGGATGGGGAAAAATTCGGATAACGGAGCAGTCACACATCCATCTAAGACTTGCACATTCCTTCACGTTTCCATCATTTCTCACATTCTCTTCACAGGAACTAGACACACTCTAGCTCCTCAATATGAAAACTGGCATTTCGAATAAGTGATTGTTCGGAATATCGGCATTCTACTGTACCGTAAAGTCGCGGATAAAAGCCGGGCTTATATTTTATAAGCACATAAGCCGCTTTCTCCATCAGGTTTTAATGCAAACCATGCTTATTATGCACCACTGATATTTTTGCCAGACTTGTATGCCAGGCTTCTAAGTGCGACACGCGTAGATCTACCACTGACTACCGGTATGGCGGCAGTTTTACTATGCACCATACATAGTGCATGCACTCTTGACCCACCCGATCCACGCTTGCATAGAGCAAGGCTTCTACGAGCGACGGGCTTATATGCATTCGACCGGTTTGATTTTCAGGCTTCTATCTGCGATGTGCTTGTATGCAAACCCGGATTTTATCCGCGACTTTACGGTATTCATATTCACGCTTTCGGTACAGTCTGGAACAGGAGATCCTAGTTCGACTCAGACTGCCCTTTCCATAATACGTTTCCCATGTACTCGCAGTTCTTTTATCGGAACATCTTTTCTTCCCAACCTCAAATCCTGTGCAACACCGGCTGGCTTTCCTCAGTTTCCTGAATGGTGTTACCTCTCAACAGAAGCATGAGTGGCCATTCAATATACCGGTATAGTAAAACATGTCCATAATTATCGGACAAAGGATCGGATGGGGCTAAATAATTTGAAACTGTCCACCTCTCCTCACTGCGCTCTTGGCCCACATTTACCACACCATAGCGAGGAAGTTCGTTCTTGGATAGATGCTCTACATCCTCCAGACATCTATCCAAGAACAAACTTCCTCGCTATGGTGTGGTGAATGTGAGCCAAGAGTGCAGTGGTGGACAGTTGCAAAAAATTTTACTACAATGTGCTAAGCAGAACAGAGGCACTAGCACCTGGGTGGAAACTATTCTGAATTTTGAATGCCAGGGAAGGCTGAAGGATGCCCATGAAACCACTGCCAAAGCAAACACAAACTTGAAAAGCAGTGCATGCATGGTGGCGGTGGGAAAAAGGAACCAAGGAAAGTGTGTACATATTTTTGTTGAAAGGATGAGAATTCAAAGAAAGCTGGCTGCTTCCGCTACATGTATTTCCATGATCGGCCAGTGCCTACAGCACGAACAGTACATTGTATTACATGTATGTGCATAGACAGACAAATAAACACTAACCTGAGCATGGGTACCGCTTGTATTCGTGGTCAGGAAAGTGAAAGTACGAACGAAGGAGAAGAAGATTGTTGACCATGGCGAACAACTGCATATCCAGAGGGCACACGGCTTGCCAGAATGGGTCGGCTACATCTTCGCTAATTTTCTATCCTAACAACATTCAGCTTCGAGGTCAAGGACGACGGCATTTTTGGAAAGAAATTTCGAATTTTGGAGAAGAAGCTTGCTTTCGGAAAAATGTTCCTTTCACGCAAGGCAGCATGCCAGGTGAGGCGTTTGAACCAAGTGAACTGTGTCGGCAGATCGACGTTTACGTTCCAGGCCGACAGTTTTTTGACCAAGCCGTGAATCGCCCTCGCTCTGACTCCCCCGGCTACGAAGGAGTAATTTTACAACTCTTCAGGCCAGCAACAGGACTCTGATGCAGAGCTGCAAGTGACGGATATCGGTCATTTGCAGCCACTAATAAGAGCCTCCTGGTCGTTGCAATCTGATACATAATATACCTCTCTGCAGTGCTGTTCAAACCTGGCGCGAGATACGCACAGCAGTACGTTTGTACGATTTTCTTGACCCGGGTTGATTTCAACCCTCCCCTTGGGGGGAGGGTTGAAATCAACCCGGGGCGAAATTTCAACCCGGGTCAAGCGCAATGCGTCATGTAAACGCGCCATTCACTTTGTGCACATGGCGGGTTGAAATCTGACCCGGGTCGAACTCAACCCGGGTTGAAACGCTTCATGTAAACACAGCCTTAGGTTCACGCTACCCATGTGTATTAGCCACATTTGCGCCAAGACAATTATTTTCAAGTACTGCATTGCTACACGCTCAGCTACTGGTGCATAGCGCAACATGACTAGCAACCTTCTCCACTTTACACTACTAGTATGCCAATTCATGCCTACCGTGTATATAAGCTAGTGTTTTCTACCTCATTCTTCATCCTCTGATGAAACCGGTCAGGTATCCATTAAAATGTAAATGTATGAATTATAACTAAAATTACTGTGCTCTTGTTGTGTCGGGAGTTCAATGCATCTTCCCTAGTGAAAACCCAAGATTCCTTTGCTCCTGGACGCTCCGACGTGTTGTGATATCTGCCAGGTGCGCAGTAACTAGTATTTTCATCGCTATAGCGAGGACGACGCCGATCGGCAAACTCTCGCTCACAGCCATCACCAGCCTCTCAAAACCATCACTTGGCATCCCCCAAAGGTATAGGAGAAAGCCAAAACAGCTCTCAACAAACAAAAGCTAAGGACGATGGAAAGAGAGCATGTCAAAGAGAAGACGAACAGTATGAAGTTCAAATGGTTTTGAACACTCGTACCACCAACTATACCACTGCACTTTCAATAAATCGTGACGCCATTTTGTTTTAACCCTTTAACGCATTCAAATGCAAAACTTCAAAAGATCGTAACTCAGTCCATCCAATCTCGCTCAAATCCAGTGATCGAAATATCCAGGGCGAAGGGAAAACTCTCACCTGTCGGGAGAAACAATCCGCGAAGCGCTGCAAGCAACAACGGGTCCTGAGATAAATCACTCGTAAGTTGAGCCGCGATCGCGGCAATTTCAAAAGCGCGCAGTGCGACTTTAGTATTGAGAATTTTGAGACTTTTCGTCACGCTGGTTTACTCGAATTTGCACGGGTTTCACTGTTGATATTGTCAAGAGTACACAGCGAAAAAATTGGAACTCCACGATCGAGCAAAATGAAATATCTGGAGCGGGACGCAATTGGACGCATTTGGGGCATTTTTCGTACTGTCGCTGCGATCTAGCGCTGGATAGACGGTGTGCTGGCTATCATGATCGACCTCATTGTCTTCCTCTCGCGGAGACCTTTCCAGGAAGCCCTAGATTGTGAGGATTGAGTGAGTAGAACTGAAGCTATGATCCAAGGAACACGAAAAAATGCAGAATTTTGAAATTTTCCTGTGGCTCTTAAAGGGTTAACATGAATATCGCGGATTCAGTGTTTTTTCCGCTTCTGTCTTGTGAGCATGCAGCATCACCCTCCTACTAGTCCTAGGCTATAGTGGCTGCAAAAATATTATTCCAAATCGACAAGAAGTGCTATGTATGGTCATTCAACAGCAGGTGTGTATATAACAGCCTCATTGAGCATCTGCCCTTATTTTTCGGATGTTATTTTATGCTCCTTCTCGACCTGATTATGCCAAAACGTATGCCTTCAATTATGCCTTCAGTCAAGAGATTAGTTGAAGTGTCCCATTAGAACGGTTTCTGTCATTTTAGAGTGTTTCAGTGGAATTGTCATGGCGATGACGACGTCCGATCAGATCGACCATCTCCACCTCTCCCATCGGATGAGGTTGTGGAGTTCCGTTTTTCTGAAGAGGCCAATAAGGCCACCTCTTCAGAAAAACGAAGCTCCAAAGAGTGACAATTCGAACGCGCCCTAAGTACCAGTGACTTGCATGCAGGTGATGACTGAGAGATTGGATAAAATAGTGCAACATAAATCAAGTGGTCCAGCACTTATTTATTTATTTATTTATTTATTTATTTATTCAACATCTCCTGGCCCGTCCGAAGACTGCCAATAAACATGAGAGGTCAGGTGATAGCCAACCAAGGCAAGCTAAAAAGGGAAAAAAAAAGAAAGATGCTGTCAGAGAGGGAAAGGAGATAGGGAGAGAAAAAGAAAGGGAGGCACATTAATAATACATGGGATCACTTCGGATGAGACAGTGTGGAAAGCTGGACTGTGAATTTCCTGATATCCTGGCATGTCTTAATGCTAGTAGGCAGGTTAGACCAAAGGGAGTATGCTGAGAAGAAAGGGGATTTCAAAAACAGAGAGGAACTAGCTCGGGGCAGTGATAAGGCATTGCGTGTTGGTCTAGTGGTAACAAACCAGTTGTACTTGGCAATATGTTTCGGGACTTGGGCTAGGAAGATTTTTTGCACAAGGATACAAAGATGCTGCTGATGTCGGGCAAGAAGAGGGTGCGTGGAAGCAAGTTTATAAAGACAAAGGGAGGCAAATGTTTGGTCTTTTCGAAACAGAATTTTCAGAAGCAAGCGTTGATGTACCTCCAGTCTGTGGAGTAAAGTCTGAGACAACCCGCACCAAGCTATATCGCAATAGTCAAATATAGGCAAAATGTACGACTTAAAGAACAATTCTCTGCAGTTATCATTCAAGTGTTGGCAGTGGGGTTGTAGCATACCTAAGGACGCACTCGCACGCTTGCACACAGACTGGACTTGTGGAGACCAGGAGAGTTGGCGGTCGAGAATAACGCCCAGGTGCTTGTGCTCGTTAACAACTTTAATAGGTGTACTATTTAGACCAGGAAAATACAGAAGTTGAGTGGGGGGCGAGGGAGAGAAGAACATGGCCTCGGTTTTGGCGAGGTTAGGCTTCAGTTTCCAGGTTTCCATCCATGTTACTGTAGCGTTGACCCCGGACTGCATGGAGGCCGTGAGGTTGTCTGCCGAGCTGTCGGAGCACATCAGAGCAGTGTCGTCAGCAAAAAGACTTACATTTGGTACAAGGGCTGGCAAGTCATTAACGTACAGTAGAAATAGGAGCGGCCCAAGTATGGACCCCTGGGGTACCCCAGACACGACTAGTAATGGGTCTGATAGGGAGGTAGATACTCTGACAGTCTGGTGGCGGCAGGAAAGATAGGATGAGAGCCATTGCAGGGCTGGACCGTGTACCAAGAAGACGGACTCTAGCTTTGCAAGCAGACCACGATGCCAGACGGTGTCGAAAGCTTTCGCTAGGTCAAAGAACACGATGCCAACATGCCGCCTGAGGTTCCGCTGGGTGTAGATGTCTTGTACTAGACGTGTTAGTTGGAAAGTTGTGGAGTCTCCACGGCAGAAACCGGATTGAGATGGTGAAAGCGCTGGGGTGACGTGGCAGTACAGAGACTCAAAGAAAATACGTTCACAGACCTTGGACACAGCGGGAAGGAGAGAGATTGGTCTGTAGTTGCCAGCCTGAGAGCGTTGGCCTTGCACAACCCCACAGCAAATTATGCAGCCGGATTGTACTACTACAACCGTGACCAACAGCAAAACTAGAATGCATAGCAGCAACAAAGAACAGAGCCTCGGAACCTCGCCATCAAGTTCCGGCTCACATACAAAAACCACAATTATAAATGTGGCATGCTCTCAAGAAAGGGTAGCTGGTTACACCACCAACAACGATGCGGACGCCACAACCACCACCACCACCAACAACAACAACAGCAACAACAGCAACAACAACAACAAAACCGAAGACAATCATTATCATTAATCAACAACAAATTTGCTCTTATACTTTATAGCATTATCTCAACAGCATAGACTGTGGAGCACACCGCCTGTGTCTCTTATCAGATCAGACCAGTGTGCAAAGCTGCATGCATGCCAGCACAGACAGATGCCTGGCCATGTGGCATGTGCACATACAGTACAATGGGAAATCCAGTGAGTCCATCATCCAGTGTCATCATCCAGTGTCAACATCTCAGTGTCAGTCATGGTAAGTACATATTACTGTGTAGGAGTCAATGACTAGGATTCGCCGTGCCTGCTTCTGGGAATGACCTGCACCACACACAGTGCAGCTGTACGGGGGCTATGTGTAGAGTACTACTACTAGTCAGCGCCGTGTCTGCTCTGCGTAGACAGCGTGACCATGATACTGTGCAGGCACACAGTACAGAGCATACATCACACAGCACACAGTACAGAGCATACATCACACAGCACACAGTACAGAGCATACATCACACAGCACACAGTACAGAGCATACATCACACAGCACACAGTACAGAGCATACATCACACAGCACACAGTACAGAGCATACATCACACAGCACACAGTACAGAGCATACACCACACAGCACACAGTACAGAGCATACACCACACAGCACAGAGCACATATCACTCATCGCTAGTCGTGTCAGAGCTGCGAGTTGGCGCCAGCGGGGACCTGGATCGGGACGGTGACTTCCAGCCACCAGTGAGCTCAGCGCTGCGGGATCGCGACCTAGATGCACGGCGATCCTGCAGTGGCACACACACCAACACCAAGAGAGTGTTAGGTGCCGAAGAACTGGGGGGGGGGGGGGGGGTCAGCCTCGTAGCCTAGACACCGTTCTTATTTTAATGTACAAATGGTCCGGATAACCGAGGTATGAGTGTGCTATGCACGTACTATGCACAGTTGAGCCACTGTGTTCACATTGGTATGCTACGCTTGGTGAAATTCTAGCCTGTTCGTTCATCGGCACTACGTTCTTCAGCACCCGGCAGTACTGTATTGCTGCAATATGACCTGTGCCACAGTGTTCAGTAGAGATATAAGTAAGTGATACCCATGTTGAATGTATGCCTATTGCACTCACACCGACCTTTGCAAACAACCCGGCAACGTCCACGACCCACTGCAGCGCAGACAGTAGCAATGTGTGCAGTAAACTAGGTAAGCGTCATCCAATGTGACAAGCAACAAAGCTGCAGAAGAACTAAGTCTATGCAGCCTACCACCTTAACACTCCAGGTACAATGTAACAACATTTCCATTCCTGCGTTAGTCCTCAGGCCGTCACACACCCCTTCACAAATACGAGTGGTGCTCAACCCGAGACTGTATAGTGCTGTTAACTCAGCCTAGATGTTCAAAGACTTGAAATACAAAAGGTGCCCCCCCCCCCCTCCCCACGCACGCACACATACACACACGCACACACACGCATGCATGCGCACACCAATGCTGGACATAACAAGTTACACGTACATGTAGGCCACTCTGTATTGCCAAGCCATGACCACTATCAACCCGGGCCACCAAAGTAAATTACAGTCGACTCCACTTATTACGAACTCGCATTGTCCATGTCCCTGTTTGAATCCATACATTTGACTTACACTGTCTGGATCCTGTTTCTTGGCTGGTGAAGACAAATTATCCGGCAATGGTTCTGGTGATTTTTGCTCCATATTGGGTTCCTGGGTATCAGCAGGTGGAGCACTGTCCAGTTTATCATCCATGCCATCACCTGATTCCAAACCTGGTGCTTTCCCAGTATCTTCCATCTTGTCGGCACCAAGCGGAGATTTAGACTCGGCTCTGGGGCTCTTTCGCAGCAGAGAGTCAGCTGACTCACCCTCCGGTGATGAGCTCTCGTCATACGGCACCAGAGACAGTTGACTGACTTTAGCTGCAGGAGTAGGTGAACTTCCCGTCGTGCTTTTCTCAATGCTCGCATTTGTTGGAGATTTGCCACCGGCTGCTGTGTCAGAAGTACCTGTAACACACTCCATGTCAGGAGCCGGGCTGGTGTCCACAGGAGCAGTTGTATCTGTTCTGATTGATGGTGCGGACTCTGTAACAATAGCCTCGGCCGCATCAACAGCAACATGTGGACTAAGCTCAGGCTGAGCGGTGACGTCAGACGCACTATGAGTCTGCTCTAGAGGGTCTTCATCCATTGCAGTACCCTCGGCGGCAGGTGGTTCTTCAGTAGTTGTAGATGAGGACTCCGTTGCTGCACTTGTAGATGCATGCCCACCGGCGGTGGTGGGTGATACGGCCTCCTGAACGTCAGCCGCCTCAAGACCGACGTCTTGGCCGACAGCGGGAGAAGACTGTGATGGGTCATCAACCGGTGGATTGTCTGCACCAGTTGTGCCCCCCTCCTTCTCATCACCTAGCATTAGACACTCAGGGCTATCAGGCTGCACCGGGTCAATGCCTAACGTACTGGCCTCTGTCTCCATGGTATCCTTGTCTTTACTGCTGGGTTGCTCGTTGTCTGCTGCATCGCCACTACAGCCATCCTGAGCCTTCTCTTCTTTGGGTACAGTTGGGTTATCTACCTCCATTGGTTCATCAGCACTGCTGTGAGACGCTGGATTCTTCTCTGTTGCTTCTGTGGCAGCAGCAGCATCGATCACTGGCGCATTCCCACCATCGGCATCATCCAGCTCTCTTGCCTGGTCAACTTCCTGTGAAGGTGCCCTCCCGTGGCTTTCAGCGGAGACTGGCGACTGCACCGAGGCTGCACTCTGTGCCAGCTCATCTTCAGCGGAGCTAGTGGGAACAGCCGCGCAGGACGACTCGCGATTGCTGGTGGTTTCCATGTCATCCGATGCACCGAGAATGGCTGCATCGGGGCCTTCATTCCCCGGTGTGTGCTGCTTCATGTCATCACCACTGTACGCCTATAGCATAGCCATGAGCGGTGGGAAATTCAATAAAAGCAAAACAAAAACAGATAAAAATCTTGTAGGACGCACCACGCAAAAACAGATTAAGTACTGGCACATACTCTTGAACAGGGCACTATCATAAAGACTGGGTTCTCAATCAAGTCAGTGCGAATGCTGCTCAATGAAGCCTGATTGTGTCAGCCAATGATACAGCGGGCGATTTGTAGCCCGACCTACGGACACTTAACTATGCACTGGTTCAGCCATGAGCATGACCGTCCTATCTTTCCAATCAGATTTCCAGTTCCTGGAGAAAACAGCGTCTGCAGCATGAACCTGTATAGTATAACCCAAGCTTGACCATAAGAGTGCATCTGGTACGCAGCAGACTCAACCAAGGACGTTCAGGTTCGTTGTAACTGTGAATGTCATACCGCAAGGCAATCACCAGACTGTCTTTGTTAGTTGAATGAGCTCCAAATTTAAGTGCACAGTGTATAGTCTTGACAGTCATAATACTGCCTGCCATGCAGTGTCCAGGGTTATAAGCCGAATAGGCTTCAATGGTCAAACACACAGGAAACAAAGCCGCGTTGTTACAATCCAATTCCAAACTTGGACACTAGTTAGAAAGATCTTACCACAGCAGGAGAGCAAGTGCCAGGGTCCTCATCAGCTGCAGTCAAGCCGGCATGTGAGCTATGACTGGCAACGTCCTCCGTGGGAGATGTGCCACTCACCCTGGTACTGCCGGTCAAAACATGTCCGGTGCTCTCCTGCGGTGACTCCAGTGGTGAAACACATCTCAGTGCTTCAGGCATGTTGTTCTCGGTTGTGGTGGTGGGGAGCGGTGGTGATACGCTTGGCACCTCTGGTACGGCGGACTCTGCTTTGGCTGCGTCACCGGCGTCGGATCCACTGCTAGTCGCCTCGCGTGAGTGTGGCCTATCAGAAGATGCCGATTTATCTGATTGTGCCATTGGAGCTTCGCTATCGTCAGTAGCAGTTGATGCATCCTCAGCAGTGGAACCTTTTTTTTCCGAAATCAGCACACGCACAAAAACAGATATCCCACGTCACCAACCTGGGCTTGGTCACACATCGCTTTGATGGATCAGCAACGCAGTGTTGACCTTTCAGGGAAATCACAAAAAGGGCTGCTGCTTCAAGTCAGGGGGGGGGGGGGGGGCAGAGTGCAAGTGGACTCAAGGCGTCAAAGCACGCTATGCCTATTGTCTCTACTTGCACATAGTGGCAGTCTCCTCCATCATGAAGGTATGCTTTTCAGACTCGCCTAGCCTCCTAAATCAATTGAACGAGGATGACATGCATAGCGAACACGGTCACAAGAAAGTGTCACTACAAAGAGATCTGTGGTAGGTTGCATCTTAGAAACTCACCGACGTACATTATTGCCATCCAACAAAACACCAGACATTGAACACTCGCGCATACTGCACAGTTACTGCAATCCGTTTTAGGGCGTGCCTTCAGTTTTATATGAGGTGTAACCCCTTCCCAGTGAAGCACAATTCCGAAACACGCATTGCACCACTCTAAACAAGTACCGGAAACGCCAACGTAATCATATAGCGTTAGTAGCGCGTGTCAGGCTTGTTGGACTTGAAACATGGATAAATGGGGATTGGACAAACACATGAAAAAGATGCCCTTACAGCGTCGACGGTATAATTATGTGTAAAGAGTATCCCACAATTTAGAGTTGAAGTGAGAGCCTCGGCAGCAGCAGCAGCAAAACATACTTATATTATAAGTACATGTACATAAATGCATCGGAACGCACAAGTCCTCACAACTAGAGGGCCGTGAGTACAATGATGTCATCCGATCAAGACACATTGTTCTTCAACCCAACACACGGCAATCTAATCCTCGCGGAATGCATGTCACAAACCATCGTCAAGCATGCACCGGGATTGGCCAATGCATGTGGAAACAAGTCCGTGCTTACTTGACTGTTGTGTTTCTTGCTGTTCAGGTGTGCATGTAGCATCCCTGTCGTCCGAGATGCTACTGAGCGAGGGCTGCGCCGTATGCTCAGCCACGTCCAGCATCGAGGTGCTTTCGCTGCTCCGGGTCCTTTTGCTGGTGTCTGGATCTTCAACGGTCCTTATTTGCTCCGACTCATCGGGTGTAAGGACGATATCTCCAGCATCAGTGATGTCCTCACCAATGGTGGCGCCTTGAGTTGATGTCAAGTCTGCAATATCTTGGTCTTTTGAGACCTCCGCCAGCTGTTCTTCAGTGAGTGGTGGAGAGCTAGGACTTTGAGAAGTGGCTGCAGTAACCTGTAGCCCCGTATCTTCACTTACAGTGGCCTCCGCAATGGGGTCATCCTCTATTTGCTCTGGCTGACACGCTGATTGTTGACAAGCATCCATAGGAATGCTTTCACTCATATCCATTGCAGGTGCATCATCCAGTGGACTCCGTTGCCGGTCTTCACACGGGGGTTCTGGATCCGTATTCGAAGTATCCGTTACATGTGCAGCACCATGTCCAGACGTACAGCTCTCCACCGCAGGTGGAGAACCGGCTGGATGTTGCAAACTCTCATCACCCACATCCATGGAATTGTCTGAGCATGCTTCGTTAGACACAGCCATATCCGCAGTGTTTTCACTGACGCTGGCTGCGGGTAAGTCCTCTAACAATGTTGAAACTGGCCACTCATCGGTGTCCATCGGCTCGTCTTCCGGGATGTTACCAGAACCAGAAGGTCTACTTTGAGCTTCGTCCTCTTTGATCAAAGAGCTGTTGTCGCTGTGTTGGCTGTCAATGGCCGGGGCGTCTTGGCTATCGCTGGCTGAGCTGACTTGGCTTTGCATGACAGAGCCTGTCTGGCCGGCTACGGCTGACCTGTCCTCGCCGAAGCTTCGATCAGATAGAGCTGAGAGTGCAGATTCCACAGATGTGTGAGATTGCGAAGCACTAAACGGAATGAGTTCCGAACTGTCGGCCAGTGACAGTGGTATGCTAGCACTTGTGGCTTGACTGCTGTCACCAACACCAATACTAATGCCGCTACTTTCATGCAGGGTCATCGGTTTCGTTACAGTGGAGCTAGTAATATCTGGGGTTGGCAGTAGGGAGACAATTTGAGACGTAGCTCCTCCAGGCTGCGGCACAGCCGGAGGAGATTCGGACGGCTGCGGATGGGCCGAGTCATCGACGTTGGCCATCTCCACAGACTCACTGCCTTGCTGGTCAAGAGATGGGTGGCTAAGTATGGGGTTCATGGTGTATGTGGATGTATAACTGATAGTGCCCGATACCACACCGAGTCGGTCTTGCTTCTGAGAGATCACAGCAACAGGCACAAGCAACAGTCACTCAAAAAGTGAGGACCTGATACTGAAGAAAGGCAGAATGAAAAGAATGAAAGCGAGAAAATCGAGAAGCCTGCTTGTTGGAAGTCTAATACCACATGTGAAGGACGTGAAGCTAGCCATGTGTACATGTACCTGCTATAAATATGCTTATATGCCTTATGGTAGGGATACCAGCGAATGCACTACGCAGGCCACTGCACAGGTGATCACGTGCACATCTAGACGTGGTCAACAAGCCGTGACCACCCACACCCGAAAGGAATCGCAAGTAAATCAGGATGGAAAAGAAGGACAGAATAGCAAAGAAGTGTCTGAGGAAGACCAGCTAGAGGCGAGTTACTTCGTAGCTTCCCTCTACGACGTTGGGCGATGGCTACAAAGGTTACTACGAATATAAGTCGACCTACTCTTATAACGATAACCCCTATAACGATATTACCCTTATAACGATATTTTTCTGCCAAACCAAATCACTCCATTGACTTTTGTATACAACGCCTTACCCTTATAACAATATTGCTATGACGATATTACCCCTATAACAATATAAAATGGGCTGACCAATCAACATTTTCCATTTTATAACAATATTCAGCAGGGGATATGTAGAGTCCACTGTCAAGGTAGGGCAAGCTTCACTTGATAAGTCGCTGGGACATGACGAAATGCGATGAGGGCACCAGTGGGTACCTTGCTGTGTACGTAATGTGCATGTACATACGCTTTTGACACTATGAAGAGTGTAAAAAATGAACTACAGTCAACTTCGCTTATAACGACACTCGGCGGGGCATCAAAAAAGTGTCCTTATTCGCGAAGTGTCGTTATACCCGAAGTCTCATTATATGTATTACAGTTGGAAGGGACTTTGCTCTGGGCATGGAAATGCTGTCGTTATTCGCGAATTGTCGTTATATCCGAAGTCGTTATTAGCGAAGTTGACTGTAAATTCATGCATTATGACGTAGGTGTATGAAATGAACCAGTTACCCCTGTAACAATATTACCCTTATAACAATATTTCTTGGTCAGACGAAAATATCGTTATAAGGGTAGGTCGACTGTATTCGTTTGTTACACTGTTCTCAACGTCGTCCACAGGTTTTGCAAGGCACTTTCTTCCAGCTCAAAAATGGATGATCGTCAGCTAGATGTTGTAGTACATCGGCTGGTACCTGGCAAAATCTAAACAGGGAAATCCCCTTTTGAAGACGTCATTGAATTGGTCAGACCATGTGGACTACACGTGCCAAGATTGGAGGAAATCCACCGAGGCTTTCGCGAAAATAATCGGAAAAAAACTTGGGCACCATGTCCCACGCGTGGTACTTTTGAAGTTAGTTGTATGACAGTGACAATACTACTTGTTCTCGCATCAAGGACCTTCGCTCATTCTTAGTAGTTTCTGGTCATGGCTGTCTAGACTAGTCGGAATTGGGGCCCAAGTCTTGGAAACCTGCTTGGCATAGCTAGAGCAAAATCAACAAGTTTCAGACGCAACCAAAGGTCACCAGGTGGCCTATTCGCAAGGAAGTACGAGTACTGTTCTTTGTTGCAAACATTGCTCCGTCCAGCTACAAACGTCTTCTTCCTTTACCATGTCTTTGCTTAAGAACTTTTACCAGTCATAGGTGCCTAAGAATATTAGCTCCTGATATCCCCTTTCCTGAACGAATCGAGCTCAAACAAACCAATAAACAGCCTTCTTGTCGAGTGTCAATTTTAATATTTACTCCTGGCCGGTCTGCGCTGAGCCTGACCAGCGACCTGATATCTGCGATCGCCATTTTTTCTTGTCGGCCGTGCGCCTCGTAGATTTTTGTATGAGGTAAGATATGTGCGAACACGCTGCGCAATGCGTTCGCTGATGTCCCTACTTATGGAGTAGTTCAGGCCCATTAAGCAGCAGGAGCAGCAGCAGTCCAAAAGTTCATTATTCTTCTAGAGGTTCTCACCTGCTGGTCACTGGGAGGCAGGTCATTCTCAGAATCGGGTACTGTGGAAACAATAAAACAACACAGCGAAACACAGCACCGGATCGACTCAAGCAACAGAAACAGTACGAACAGATGGAGGCAACGTTATTTGTACAGACTCTGTCACTCAGAATGTGCAGCCACTGATAGGCCATGGAAGCAATGCAGACATCAGATGCCTGTACCATCACTAGCTGTGTGGGCACACTACCAATGATTGCAGAAGAAAAGTCCACCAAGTTGCCCGGCTAGTGTACAGCTCATACAACAACAAAAAGAACACTATGGCGGTTGCTGCAAGCGGAAAACACGAAAGAAAGTTTTCCGTTCGGGAGTTCAGGAATTCAGGTAGGAAATTCATTGCCCTTACCTGGCACCCATTTGTAGACTTTCAGAGTTGTACCTGGCTGCCCACAGTCTGTCCATCGCTTCTCCCTGGGCAGTAGCACACCAGAGACAGCATCCAGAGATGTACACAAATGCAGGCCTTGAAGAGTCATTCTGCATGGCACCATGTCCATGATCTATTTAACACGCGATCTCTCAGCCCAAGGCAAACTTTTTCAAGTCACGGGCATGGCAACAGTAAACAGTCTTTTGGAGCCATTTGGCTCGATGACACCATCGTACGTAGCCAGTGATCAAGAGTGCAACAAACTTGTACATCGCAGCTACGGTAGTCAAAGCACAGCAATAGATGCCGGCATATTATACATCCGGAACCCCATGAACTGCCACATAGCAGTATCTACGCGATAAGTGCGGAAATGCACATGGGCTTAATCATACTTCCACAAAAAACGACGCAATAGAAATAGAGCTGCGAACCCATTCCAGCTCAACTTACAACTTACACTCTCTTGTAATTTTGCCGACGGTTTACTACCAAATTTGAGCGATATGCAACTACAAGATGCATGCCGATTTTCTTTGCATAGAGCTGCTCATCTCTGGGGGTAAATCTCGACCCAAAACAAGAGAGGCCACAGAAGCTTCACGTAGACACCTGCTCTTCACGTGATTTCTGTATCATCAGACTATGCTTCACATGAAGCAGAACCTCTCTTTTATGATCATGGTGCTGACCACATTTACCCTGAATGGTAGCTAAACCGACACACACATACACACACAACCACCAATCTTGGCTTTTTCTGGCTAGATAAAAGTAGCCGGAGCATGTGTGTGTGTGTGTGTGTGTGTGTGTGTGTGTGCGTGTGTGTGTGTGTGTGTGTGTGTGTGTGTGTGTGTGTGTGTGTGCGTGTGTGGTGTGTTGAGGGGGGATTCCGCAGGGGTGAAATTTGCAGGAAAAGGGTAACTTTTATTCGAATTGCACTCTGGGTCATATCGAGAGCGATGGTTGATGGGTGAAAGATACTACTGATGCAGTAAAGTAGAGTTGCATGTACAAGACCGGTTAGTGATACAATGACATGCATTCGTAACTGGACTGTTCCTCCAGGAAATCGTGATTCCAGGGATGCAACACATTTTGCAGTTTTGGCCCAAGAATCAAGAACACCATTACACCATATTGCACAGTACTGCGTACTGCTCAGAAGCGGCATAACACCCTGACACACTTCCCCATCGGCATAACACCCTGACACACTTCCCCATCGGCATAACACCCTGACACACTTCCCCATCGGCATAACACCCTGACACACTTCCCCATCGGCATAACACCCTGACACACTTCCCCATCGGCATAACACCCTGACACACTTCCCCATCGGCATAACACCCTGACACACTTCCCCATCGGCATAACACCCTGACACACTTCCCCATCGGCATAACACCCTGACACACTTCCCCATCGGCATAACACCCTGACACACTTCCCCATCGGCATAACACCCTGACACACTTCCCCATCGGCATAACACCCTGACACACTTCCCCATCGGCATAACACCCTGACACACTTCCCCATCGGCATAACACCCTGACACACTTCCCCATCGGCATAACACCCTGACACACTTCCCCATCGGCATAACACCCTGACACACTTCCCCATCGGCATAACACCCTGACACACTTCCCCATCGGCATAACACCCTGACACACTTCCCCATCGGCATAACACCCTGACACACTTCCCCATCGGCATAACACCCTGACACACTTCCCCATCGGCATAACACCCTGACACACTTCCCCATCGGCATAACACCCTGACACACTTCCCCATCGGCATAACACCCTGACACACTTCCCCATCGGCATAACACCCTGACACACTTCCCCATCGGCATAACACCCTGACACACTTCCCCATCGGCATAACACCCTACCACGTTCCCCATCTTTTCCGTATTATCTAGCTACACCCACACTTTTCGCCGCATTTTTTATATTGTTTTCTGCCGCAATTAATTATTTCTTGTGCACGGTTTTCGAGAATTATTCCGCAAATAATTCCCGCAGGGACAGACTAGAGTGCTTGGCATTGCAACGTCCGACTAACTACGGATAGGGTCCAGCGGATAATGCTCCGAAAATGCTCGTATAATGCTAACCATAATGCTTCAGGAATGGATATAATGCTCTTGGTTTGGGACAAAAATGAAAAAAAAGTCTGCACATCGTCAAACTTATAGGAAATTGTGCATATCGTCGATCTGCATCTGAAGTTGCCACCTTATCTCTCACACGCTCCACTGCTTCTTAACACTATAAGACTTCTCCATTGGCTGATCTCCATTCCAACTTTGATGTGGCAGAATAGTCGGAATAGTCACAGCAGAATAGTCGGTGTATCATATCTTTCCACTAAATATCCATGTAGTGAGAGATGAAACCATTATGGCAGGTAGTCATTCATTGTTGGGATGAAGTTTATCTTGGCAAATACTACTCCTGCCTGCAGACAAGCTGTCACTGCTTCCACTCTGTGAATAATGTCTTCTTCTGAAACACTAGACGTGAGGCCAACTCCTGAGATCCGATCTCAGATCGAGATCCCTCCCATTTGCGGAAATCCTGAAAACACGTGGCCAGAAGTTATTTTGCCACCAGTCTACATGCTTTGCTTGTGCTCTCATCTTCTCCTTGAGAAGGTGTGTAGACGTATGGTTTGCCACAATACTCTTCTTTTCTGATAGCATTTGACTGTAGGCTTGGCATTACAACAGTCCACAACTACTGGAAATATACAAAATTTCGGCGCTGCAAAATTTCGGCACTTCACGATTTTTGACATTTCGGCGGCGATTTATTTTCGGCGTGGGGTACAGGGCATGGTATAGTGCGACAGATGCTGTGAAAAATTTCATCGGTGTTTTAATTTAGGCGTTTCGGGTCGGTGCCGAATATAGCCGAAATAATTAAATAGCTGCCGAAAATTTGTATATTTACAGTACATGTATACGTGCTTCATCAGGAAAGTAAGACTAGCGCTGCTGAGCGCTCCAATCGACTTGGTACTGCGTCCATGAGAAATTCTAGTTCTTTTCCAGCCTCCTGAGCTGGACTCGGCAAAGGCAGTTCTTTTGGAGCGAGCTCTTTCTGTTTATAGCCGTTCCTTCATCCTAGTCCAAATTTTATCAATGCATCAGTGTCTACTTCAGTATCGCTAGAGATGCTGTCGCCAGAGCCTATGGCACAACGAGAAAACTCTTCTTCGTCTGTTTGATATTCACTTTGCGTATGCCTCCTACTCCTACTCTACTCTATGCTCTCCATTATTCTAAAAGAAACCTGGTAAATCATTTCTCCGGATTTGTGTAACTGCCTCGGTTGGGCATGCATGCATGCGTCATGGCTTGTATGCATTTACCTGACCACATCGCGCGCTACATAACGTTTTATCAAGAGTACAGTCATGTACTCTTGGTTTCATGAAGCGATGGGCCAGGTAAATGTAGCATTATAGTGCTAAAGGTGTTACGTGTCTACACAATCACAAAGTCATGTGCCGGTACAATGCATAAGGTCTGGTTGCACCTCATGATCATCGTAGCCGATTGTTGCCAAAAGGACAAAAATCTGGGATTTCCCGATATTATACAGTATGAAACTGGTTACGCCGCTCAAACCTCACATAATGCTCGTTTTGTTCCTTTCTAATGCTCTGATGCTCGGATAGTCTTATAATGCCGAATATAATGCCGGCATTATCCGCTGGACCCTAACTGCGGAGAATGTACTACCATTGCAAAAATCCAGCCGCAGTTTACTCTTCTTGTGTATTGGCACCCACTTGTAGCTGGAGGTCAGGGTAGAATGTCTCCAAGCACATCCGATTCACAGGCCACAGTACCCAGTTCGGCCCGGCCGGTTGGGCCTTGTTATTTCGAAAAAGCTAACCCACCCCAACTATTGAAACGCGGGTTTTTCATCAATAGTGCTTCCGATCCAGGATTCTATGTATTTGGCTAGACCATCTGAAATCCCGGTGCTACGGCCCTGATTCACTATCTTCACGTAAAAAGGAAAAACGCTTCACGTGCCAACGGTCCACACTGCCCCGCATGCACACTCAGTAATAATGAGTTGTTTGAATGGAATACTTCGGCTTACCAGCGTCGCACTCGCTGGAAAGCCTGCATGACGCGGCGGATATCATCTTTAGCTCGGCTACGCGTCTCGAAGCGGCCACGCTGAGGAGTCGACTCTCCACTAGCGCCAGTGGCTGTGGTAGCAGCAACTCCCGCTGCTCTGCGAGCGTGCAGCATCTTGGCTCTTTATCTTCTTCGTTCACTGTCGCCACACGCAGAGCTGAGTCGCTGAGTCGCAGTTGAATGCTACACCTGCTGCCGGCCAGGTCGGTCACTCAAACTAAACCTAACTCAACGCCAGCTCGTCGAATGATGGGCATGGACGGTGAGCTGGAGTTTGCGGCAATGGTGAACTGCCTGTTGGATTGTAGCGGCCAGGCCATTGACCTCCACGACTGCGATACAACGCAGATCTGCGAAACAACAATAAACATGATAAACTCACACATGTACAGTCACAGCGCTCAGCACAAGTACAAGCACCTATACAATCAGTCATGTACTACTTTTTCTTTTTTTTTATACAAGCGCCTACCTGACTAGACTATGTACGTGGAACTGTACATGACTGTATGTCATGTACAGTTGTGGACATGGAAATCCTGTCGCGCGTCTAGGGCAGTAGGGGCCCCAGGGTGCTGGCCATGCAGCCGTGGATAACGGTAATCGTCGGGGACTATTCGCGGTACACATTTTATGCGATGCAGCGCGCGCGCTAGTCGCATCGGATCAACATGTGCCCTGCACGCAGCGTTCTGAACGCGCTGAGGGCGCCGGCGCGGCCCCGGTCAATCGACCGGATTTCCATGTCCCGATCCCCCCGGCGCGGCGGCCAAGCTGACCTACCAGGCAGCCTGGCCTGGCAAACATCAATCATAGATTCATACTACTATGTGCAGGACTCAGACATTCCTTGGGCCCGCCACTTTTTACGGCAAAACCATCGATTGTTATTCAGATTCACACTCCTGACCTATTCTGCTTCGATAGCACATCTATTGTGGAAGATATCCTTTTAGTAGTCTAGATACAGTGCAACGAGTGTTAGTTTCCAAGATCTTTACAAGACTGGCGAACACTAAATGTCATGAAGAAAGTGAAGAGAAAGGAGGTTTATATAGGAAAGAGATTGTGATAGAAGACTGTGCAATGAAGTTTGTTGTTTTGTTAGATATCTGACGTGTGCTGTTTGGAAGAAGTGTTTGGATGCAAACAGAACTTACAAGAGATGAGTAAAGACTACTTTTCTACAATAGCGTTGTAGGCGAGGAGTGCGTAACATCAAAAGATGTCGTAATGTGTATTGGAACTATGCTAGCCAAACATTACGTAATTATTATGGTAGCGAAGTACGTGTAGTAGGTATTACAATGTGTGCGAGAGTATGGTGAATCAGTGTTTGTGATGATGAGGAAAATATGACGTGTACATGCAAACAAATGATGATGTCATGATGCGAGAACGTCAGAGACGCTACAGAGCTCCCCTCCTAGTGAATGAGTAATGAGCGATAACTAGCGCGATAAAGTGAGAGCAAGCAAATGGGATAAGCGAGAGAGTGTCAGAAATAGGCGGGAAATCTGACTTGACGACCAGCTCGTGTTTGGCGTGGCGGAGGCACGTCGAATGCGAGCGATGGCGTCGGCTTGGTCGGATGGCAATGGTCGACAGACTGGTTGTCATGGAATGCGGGTTTGAGTCGGTCGATGGATACTGTGTCGGAGCGGCCGTTGAGGTCGAGGCGGAAGTACTTATCATGACGTTCCAGGACTCGGTGTGGACCAGTGTAAGGACGTTGGAGGGGCGTTCGTGTTGCATCTGTGCGAATGAAGACATGAGAGCATGTCGAGAGGTCAGCTGGAATGAACGGATGCTGGGTGGGTGGCTTGCGGGGTTGTGTAGGGCGGAGCTCGGACATGGCTTGTTTGAGGCGGCTGACATAGGACGTCGGATCCGGAAATGGCTCAGGCTCGTCAGTGAGGAAATCACTTGGCAGGCGGAGGTGGCAACCGTAGACCATTTCTGCAACTGAGCAGTTGAGGTCAGCCTTCAGGGAGGAGCGAATGCCGAGCAGGACTAGTGGCAGATGTTCCGTCCAGCGCTGTGGATTGTCGGAAGCTCGGAGTGCAGCTTTCAGTTGTCTGTGAAAGCGCTCTACCATGCCGTTGGCAGCCGGGTGGTAAGCCGTTGTGCGAATGCGAGATGTGCCAAGTAGTGACATGAGCGATGACCACAGGGATGACTCAAATTGGGCACCTCGGTCGGTTGTGAGCACAGTGGGAACACCAAATCGGGCGACCCAGGTGGCAACAAACTGGCGAGCGACGGTTTCGGCTGTAATGTCGGGAATAGGTACTGCTTCGGGCCAGCGAGTAAAGCGATCTACCATCGTCAAGAGGTAGCGAGACTCACTAGAAGATGGAAGCGGGCCTACGATGTCGACATGGACATGGGAGAAACGGGCATCAGGTTGCTTGAATGCACTCACGGGAGATGTGGTGTGGCGCTGAACTTTAGACTGCTGACAAGCGTGGCAGGTACGACACCACTCACTAATATCCTTGTTCATCGCCGGCCAGACGTAGCGAGCTGTAATCAGGTGCCTGGTAGCGCGGGTACCAGGGTGGGAGAGGCCGTGAAGCGAATTGAAAACAGCACGGCGCAGCTTGGCAGGTACATACGGGCGGGCAGACGCAGTAGAGGTGTCACAGATGAGCGAGTGATCAGTCATGGGCAGAGCTATAGATTGCCAGCATAGCGAAGTGGATGGATCCTTACCAGGACTGGGCAAGTCTGGATCATCTTGTTGAGCGGCGGCAAAGGAAGCTGTGTCAATGGCAGTGATGGCAGAGACGGGCTCATCGGGTAGGTGGCATCGTGACAGTGCATCAGCGGCAGCATTCTGAGAACCCTTGACATGACGAATATCTGTCGTGAACTCAGCAATGTACGACAAATGGCGCTGTTGACGCGGGCTGTGGGTCTGTGAACGGCTGTGGATGGCATGTGTCAGAGGCTTGTGATCGGTGCACACATGGAAGACACGCCCTTCCAGGAAGTGTCGGAAATGCTTAATGGCTAGGTAAATAGCGAGGAGCTCTCGACAGAAGGTGCTGTAGCGTGTCTCAGCAGGCTTTAACTTGCGTGAAAAGAAGGCAACAGGATAACACTCACCATCTAGCTCTTGTTGGAGGACGGCACCAACAGCAATGTCTGAAGCGTCGACCATCAAGCTGTAGGCGGCATCCGGGCGAGGATGGTGAAGTGTGATGGCCTCAGTGAACGCAGCTTTGACATCATTGAAAGCAGCGATGGCCGAGTCGGACCAGACGAGCGCGCCTTTGGTGCGGTGGCGTTTCTCAAGCATAGCGTGCAGAGGTGCGAGCTTAGCAGCAAGATGTGGCTGAAATCGGTGATAGAACGTGACGAAGCCGATGAACTCACGGAGCTTACGAACACTAGCTGGCTGTGGGAATTCACGAATGGCGGTCATGCGAGCGTCGAGAGGTCGGATACCTGAGGCAGTCACGTGATGTCCCAGGAAGTCAAGCTCATCCTGGCCGAACTGCGACTGCCGGACGTTGATCAAGATGCCATGTGAAGCAAGGCGGGAGAATATGCAGCGAAGGTGGGCCATATGTTCAGCGGGTGAGGCGCTAGCAATGAGCAAGTCATCCAGATATGCAAAGCAGAAGGGAAGGTCTGAAACTACCTGGTCAATGAAGCGTTGGAATGTCTGGGCTGCGTTGCGAAGGCCAAAGGGCATGCGGACAAACTCAAACAGTCCAAAGGGGGTGGTGATGGCAGTTTTCGGGATGTCGTCAGGGTGCACAGGAATGTGGTGGTATGCACGGACGAGGTCAATCTTAGAGAATATGATCTTGTCATGCAGGTGGGACGTAAAGTCTTGAATATGCGGGATGGGATAGCGGTCGGGGATCGTGCAGTCATTCAAGGCTCGGTAATCACCACAGGGTCGCCAGTCACCGGATTTCTTTGGCACCATATGCAGAGGGGATGACCATGCACTAGAGGAGGGACGAATAATGCCTAAATCTAACATGTGTTGGAACTCACACTTAGCGACAGCAAGGCGGTCGGGTGCCAGACGGCGAGGCTTAGCGTGGACGGGGTGGCCATCTGTGACTATGCGGTGCGTCACATTGTGCTTGACAGGCGAGTCACCAGTGGTCGGTCGGACAAGGTCAGGAAACTCACTCAGCAGGGCAGAATACTCACTAGGGCTGTCAGTGTCCAGCAGGTTGGTAGCGGAGGTGCTGACATCCGAGGCGAATCCGACAACGGCAAGTTGAGTAGTGGAGTCCCGGAGACATCTGGCGGCCAGGTCGACAGTGAGCTGGAAGTGGCCAAGGAAATCCGCACCCAGGATCGGATAGCTGACGTCAGCAACGACGAAGACCCATTTGAAAGTGCGTCGGAGACCTAAGTCTAAATCTAGCAGCTGCTGACCGTACGTGGCGATGCTGCTCTGATTCGCTGCACGGAGGCGAGGGCTATTGCGATGAACACGACGAGACAGAGTTACGAATGACGGAGGAAGAACACTGACGGCGGCGCCGGTGTCGACAAGGAACTCGACGGACTGGGAGCGATCCTTGACGAATAGTAGGCGACCGGTAGCGGTATTCGAGGGGCCAACCACACTAGCGGTCGCGACTAGTGGCTGGCCTTCCCGTTTCCCGACAGGAATCGGCAGGGGTCTCGGCATTTGTTCGCCTTCGCACCGAACGCACGGTGATACCAGCAAAGGTCGTCGTGATTGTCACGGCCGGGAGACCTGGAGGCACTTGGGTGGCGTGACGGTGGCCCGGGACTACGCTCTCGTTGGCGGCCACGCTGGGAAGGGGCACCGGTGTCACGGGTCATCACATTCACAGCGGACGTCAGCTTGGCGAGTTCAGCTCGGAGCTGGGCCATCTCAGCCCTGTCAGCGGTGCAGGCCTGTTCCGCATCTGTGGACGCTGTAGATCTACATGATAAGGCCGTACTAGACCAAGCAGGGCTAGGGGCTTCACTCAGAGCGTGAACACTTGTACCGGTGAGTGGGGTTGAGCACGTGCTTTCAACCACCTTGTCAGCAAGCGCTGCAAGGTCGTCCAGGCTGATGCTTGCAGGTGTTGCAGCCAGAATCAGGCGGACCGTCACGGGCAAACGCTGTACAAATAGCTCGCGCAGGATAGTTGGGTCTAGCGACTTACTGCCTAAAAGCTGTTGCATGCGTCGGAGGACGCGACTTGGTCGGCTGTCCCCGATGTCCGCTGTTGAGAGTAGCTCACGCAACCGTGCCTGATCGGACTTTTGTGTGCGTGCGGTGAGCGCCTCTTTCAGGACTTGGTACGGCTCCTCGGCTGGCGGCGCTAGGAGCAAGTCCCGAATCTCAGCGGCGTATTCAGGAGCCAGCGAACTCACGACGACATTATACTTGGCCCGCGGGTTGGTGATGCGATGGTTGGCAAAATGCGCTTCTGCCTGTGCAAACCAAAGCTGCGGATCGCCGGGCCAGTACTGCGGCAGTCGGAAGGTGATGGCAGACACCGGACGGTCCGGTGCGTCGTGTTGGTCGTTGCGGGCGAGTGGTTGGTTTTGGGCCGGGGCGGAGGAGCTAGCGGCAGCTGAAGCTCCAGAGGCGGAAGCGGAAGAACCATCGTCGCTGGACATATTGCACTTTACTCACGTCGGGGGTCACCAATTTGGTAGTCTAGATACAGTGCAACGAGTGTTAGTTTCCAAGATCTTTACAAGACTGGCGAACACTAAATGTCATGAAGAAAGTGAAGAGAAAGGAGGTTTATATAGGAAAGAGATTGTGATAGAAGACTGTGCAATGAAGTTTGTTGTTTTGTTAGATATCTGACGTGTGCTGTTTGGAAGAAGTGTTTGGATGCAAACAGAACTTACAAGAGATGAGTAAAGACTACTTTTCTACAATAGCGTTGTAGGCGAGGAGTGCGTAACATCAAAAGATGTCGTAATGTGTATTGGAACTATGCTAGCCAAACATTACGTAATTATTATGGTAGCGAAGTACGTGTAGTAGGTATTACAATGTGTGCGAGAGTATGGTGAATCAGTGTTTGTGATGATGAGGAAAATATGACGTGTACATGCAAACAAATGATGATGTCATGATGCGAGAACGTCAGAGACGCTACATCCTCAACTTCATCTGTGAAGATGTGATGGTTGGATTTGACATATTTTCGGACACCTTCACGTATGGATCGGGATTCGGGAATAAGCCATGGAAAAACGGATCACACAGTTCTGCAGCTAGACATCTACTGTGGAAGATATTTCCTATCATTTCTCACCTCACATAAAGGGAATGATGAAACTGCAATAGGATTTATACACTTGGAGTGAAACAGCGAGGATACAAGCATACTAAGAAAAATAGCACAAACCTAGGAACAATTTGCACAGGTAATAAACTTATTAGTTTATTACCTGTGCAAACAATTTGTTCCTAGGTTTGTGCTATTTTTCTTACTATGCTTGTATCCTCGCTGTTTCACTCCAAGTGTATACATATAAATCCTATTGCAGTTTCATCATTCCCTTTAGTCACGAATTCCATTGATAATTGTGACAAGAAAACGTTCTGGAATACATTATTCGTCCCCATGGTTGTGATATGAGTGCGCATTTAGTTATAATAATAATAAATAAAATAATAATAAATTTAAAAAATAATAAAATAATAAATTTTGAGCCCTGTGATGAGAAAAGGGACCAAATGGCTGTCAGCTGACAGTTGAGTACAACGCGTTTGAAAGTGGGCACTTGAAAAATCGCTGATTTTCGACTGCATTCGCTTGGATTTGGAATAACTTTAGAAGGGTTTTGTGTGATTCAATGCGGTAAAAACGAGTGCAGAGCTGCTTTGGTGGCCTTTCTGTACGTATTTCGATCGTCACAATCGGCCCACGCATGCCAGAGAACGGTGTACGTGACATGCAGGCTACGCGTCCGCGAGCTGCCGTTGCAAAGAGAAAATCTTTGAACATCACTTCAGATGTTTCTTTCTCGTTCTGCTTAGAAATTTGTTTGCAAACATGTCGATCCCAACATTTACCGTTGATGCGAGTCTCAGGGAAGCTTTGACAGAGCTAGATAGAGAGTTTTTGGGCATCGAAGTGGAGATTGAAGACGGCGATGATCGGGAAGACCACTTTTTGGACGAGTCACTCGATGTGGATGCAGTTGCAGCATCATACCTCGGCGAAGAGTCAGCGCAGGCTGCAGAACCAGCGCAGGCTGCAGAACCAGCGCTTGCTGAGGCGGCAGCTGCGGAAGAAATAACTGTGAACTGCGGGTGCAGCAAAAAGTGCTTGGACAAGTTTGATGCAGAAGATGTTCGACTGCTGCAGCTCAACATCGCAGAAATGGAGAAAGGGGAGAAGGAGCTGGTGATTTTGGGCCTTCTTGAGTCATCCAAGTACTCTACTGACACCACGACTCATGGGAAGAAGAGAAAGAAGCAATGGCATCGGTATACTTACCAAGGCGAAGAGGTTTGCGCCGGTGGATTTCGATTGCTGTACAACATCGGATCAAAGCAACTAAAAAATCTGAAAAAACATTTGGAGGAGAATGGGCTGGTGCCACGGACCCATGGCAATGTCGGCAGGAAGCCTAAACATGCTTTGTCGTACGATACTGTGTCTGCCGTTGTGCAATTTCTAAAAACTTACACTGAGCGCTTCGGCATACCACAGCCAGCACCGACTCGAGGGCGAGCTGGAGCACCGCCAACTTATCTGCCAGCGTCATCAACGGTTAAATCCATCCACAAGTGCTATGTGACCTCATTAGAGGAATCAGGCATCAGGGCTGTGGGCTACCACACATTTCGGTCCGTTTGGCTTGACTGCTTGCCAAACATTCAGATTATGACGCCGCGCACTGACGTATGCTCGCGCTGTGAGAATTTCCGCCGACGGATTCAGGAAGCACGGACGGAACCCGAGAAGAGTGCAGCATGCGATGAATTCAAACAACACCTCGACGCAACGCAAGCAGAGCGTGACTACTACCGTCAAGCGACACTACAGGCCCGGGCAGAGCTTGATGCATGTACGACTATCCAGCAGCAGCTGAGCCAGCCATGTTCACGCGATCTGCACCACCCGCACTACACGTTCGACTTTGCCCAGAACGTGGCACTGCCGCAGTCGGCACGTCAGGAGGGCCCCCTGTACTTTAAGGCACCTCGTAAGGTGCAAATATTCGGTGTGAACAATGAAGCTGTGCCTCAGCAGGTCAACTACCTGATCGACGAGTCAGACACCATCGGGCAAGACGGCAAGTCGAGTCATGGTCCGAACGCGGTGGCCTCCATGCTGCACCATTTTTTTTCATTCTATGGACTACATGAGAAAGGCTGCCTCCTGCACTGTGATAATTGCGCAGGCCAGAACAAGAATCGGACTATCGTAGCGTATTTCTGCTGGAGGGTGATTATGGGACTGCATGACCGTATTGAACTGTCCTTCATGTTGACTGGCCATACCCGGTGCCTTGTCGATGGCTGCTTTGGCCTGCTGAAGCAAAAGTTCCGGCGTAGCGACTGCTACACCATGGGGCAGCTGGTGGCAGTGGTCAATGAAAGCGCATCTTGCAACAAGGCCCAGCTGATTCCTGGATCTGGTTTGGAATGGAGAGCCTGGGATACATTTCTGGCTCAACATTTCAAGCCAGTGAAAGGAATCCGCAAGGTTCAGCACATGGTATTCGACGCAGCTAAGCCCGGTATTGTCAGTGTCAAGGCATCCCTGGAAGACACCTACAGCGATGTGGAGGTGCTCACCACGTCTAAAGACGCCCTTGTTGCCGCAGGGATGCCCCCAGTCCTTCAAGCACCAGGACTATCCGAACAACGACAGCAATACCTCTATAATCAGATCCGCCCGCATGTGCCTGACCAATTCCAGGATGAGCTCTGCCCGAAGCCAGCTGTGCATGTGTCTGCTAGTGCCGCTACTAGTGCTTCTCCGGTGGAGGAGTAATGTAACAGACTCTGCTACCTCACGGCTACTTCAAAACTTTTTTAATGCCAAATTGCTGCTGGTTGTATATTTTCTTGCTGTATTTTTAATGTCTCGGGACGTGGACTTGCTCCATCTTTGTGTGTTTGATGGTGGTGGCATGCCAGTATTACCTTGTACAGTTTTTCCTCTTGGCCCAGTCAAATGTCAGTGTCAATTGCCAGTAACTACAGGCTGTGTGCAGGCTCAAACATTCCCATACATTTCGTGTCAATAAGTCCTCAAAGTTTTGTATGATCCTGTTCTTCGTATGGCTGCAAAATATCTGAAAAGACACTTAGAAGATTGACCGTAGCTTTGTCAAAAATTGAGATAATTCAGCTCTGTTTTTTGCATCGTTTTCTGCATGAAACCAGCTTTCTTCTGATGTTTAGAGCTCGGTTTGAGTAAAAAAAGCCATTTGGTCCCTTTTCTCATCACAGGGCTTTTCTTACTATGCTTGTATCCTCGCTGTTTCACTCCAAGTGTATACATATAAATCCTATTGCAGTTTCATCATTCCCTTTAGTCACGAATTCCATTGATAATTGTGACAAGAAAACGTTCTGGAATACATTATTCGTCCCCATGGTTGTGATATGAGTGCGCATTTAGTTATATTCATTGCATAATTATCAATAATAATAATTTATTCATAACTGTTATGTACACGTACACAATCATGTGCACGCTCACGTGAGGAAAGCAACGGGGCGAAAGACTAGTCTTGTCTTTTGCACTTTTAGTTTGTTTCAGAACAACGCTGTTTTGGCTATATTTTACTGAGTTACTTGAAAGTATCATTGTACGATTCACTCACGTTGCAGTCTTTCCTCCTAAGTTCCGATGCTAGCGCCGAAGCGGGCCCTACTAGCGACTGGCGAAGAAATGGCCACCTTCAAGCCAGTGGAGATCATCGCCATGTCGGCCATTGAGAACGCGATAGACGAACGCAGTGATGCTCTGCGAGAATTGAGCAGAAAGATTTGGTCACAGCCTGAGCTGGCGTATGAGGAACATAGTGCGCATGACGCGCTGACGGAGTTTTTAGAGGCTCAGGGCTTCGCAGTGGATCGCCACTACAAGTTGGACACGGCGTTTCGTGCAGTTTTCAAGCAGGGCCATGGTTCACCACATGTGGTTGTAATTTGCGAGTATGATGCCCTACCGACTATCGGACATGCTTGTGGCCATAACCTGATTGCGGAGGCAGGTATGCTGGAACGCGTCAAGGATCAGTTTGCATAATTAAAGGGGAAGTCCGGTGAAAAATTTAAAGGGGAAGTTAAGGCAAAAATTAAAATTTCACCAGTTGTAGTCTTCGGGGCGCTGAGTCGAATGGTCTTGGTCCGAGAAAGCTGAGACGCTCCCTTCCTACTTGAATCCCAATCAAACTCGCGCACTTCCACCGAAACTGGGTGACTGCGCCCTACTAGATGGGGATTTGTATGCAAAATGTCACTAAAAGCGCCATTTCGTTCTTATAAAAGCACGGATGACCGCGATTGGCCCATATGTTGTAGTCTTTTGGACGCTGAGTCGACTGGTTTTGGTCCGAAAAGGCTGCGATGCAGCGTTCCTCCTTTATTCCCAATCGAACATGGTTGAACAAGCGGTCACGTGCTCCTGGGTGCCCAAATCACCTGGTCACCACGCCAGCAGGCGACAAATTTCACACCAAGGTTCAACTCGAGTGACAGGAGTGCACCCAAAAAAGGTCAAACAGGCTAGTAAGTTGTACCCTGCGGGCACGGTGGCCAGGTGACTGGCGTACGCAGGAGCACGTGACCGCTTGTTCAACCATGTTCGATTGGGAATAAAGGAGGAACGCTGCATCGCAGCCTTTTCGGACCAAAGCCAGTCGACTCAGCGTCCAAAAGACTACAACATATGGGCCAATCGCGGTCATCCGTGCTTTTATAAGAACGAAATGGCGCTTTTAGTGACATTTTGCATACAAATCCCCATCTAGTAGGGCGCAGTCACCCAGTTTCGGTGGAAGTGCGCGAGTTCGATTGGGATTCAAGTAGGAAGGGAGCGTCTCAGCTTCCTCGGACCACGACCATTCGACTCAGCACCCCGAAGACTACAACTGGTGAAATTTTAATTTTTGCCTTAACTTCCCCTTTAAATTTCAGGGTCGGTAGAGTTTCGGCCGCTGAGTCGAATGGTGTTGGTCCCACGTGTCTCCGACAAAGCGTTCTCGAGATATTTCCGTTTGAAAAACTGAGTTTCGGGGGCTGCGCCATGACGTCATGCGGCCGCGCCACACCCTCTGCAACGTCATAGCGTGCAGCTAGGTCAAAAGGAGTGCGTGAAAGCAATAGTGTCAGTGCTATTTCAAATGATTTGGCGACTGATATTAGGTGGTGCAAGCGACCCCGAAGACATGTAACTCCTTGTGAGAGTGAGGATGCAGCCATGGCTGACCTTCATGAGTTCGGTCTGGGGCTGAGAACCTCGGTAGTCAGCTGAAGGAATGGCCGCGCGGGCCGGTCAAGAGTGAGCGGTACTGAGTTTCCGACTGATGAAGAAGCAGCAGCTATTGCAGACGAGGCTGATGTAATTATCAGATCGCTGGAGAGCAGGGTCGCCAAAATGGAGAAGAGTGATGCGAGTGCTCTAAATGTTGTTCCATACCGATTAGATTCGCTTAGACTCCAGTAGCCTGCCACATGGTGATGTTTTGGTGCGAACTTGGAATATTTCGGACTACTCAATTGGAGAACAGTGCAGGCTCTTTGAACCACGGGCACGACTCTTCGCTCGCAACGCTATGGAATCTGAAAGTTCTAGGTCCGAGAGCTGTTCGCTGTTTTGTCACTTGTCACGGTTGTGCACTCATCGCTGTAGCATAAAATAATGAGGCGCCGCGGGTGCGGAAAACTAAAATTTTCTTTCTCAAAGCACAACCACCGGCACCGGCAAGGAGAAACGCACGTTCTCTGACTACACGACTGTACAATACCATGAATACGACTGATACGAGTGTAGTACATGACAAGTCCGTGTGTTGACTAGTTTTCTGAGTCTTGTGTCAGTTGTGACATGAGTTTGTTGACTGCACTAGAGCTAGATAACACACTGCACGCACTGCATGCACGCAGCGCAGAGCGCATAGACCATGTAGACGGGCTAACGGAAAAGTCCAACTCGGAAACGGCTAAAATACGGTATAACCTCGAGGTTTACCGAGCTGAAAATCACAGGGTGCGTAGTGTTTGTAACACTGAATCGAATGGTCTTGGTCCGAAGAAGCTGCGATAAACGGTTCCCCAATCGAACGCGCTCCGAATATGGCCATGTTTGTACACAACTAGATGGTGTGGCTACCTGGCTGCACGCTGTGACGTCATCACCTGGATCTGGGTGATGCGCGCTCAAATTCGCACATGTTAGATTGGGCGTATCTGACGAACCATAAGCCGCAGCCTCCTCGGACAAAGACCATTCGACTCAGCGCCCCGAACTCTACGGACTGTGAAATTTAAATTTTCACCGGACTTCCCCTTTAAATTATTATACAGTCGACTCCTGATATAACGAACACCATTGTGCATGAGAATTAGTTCTTTATAACCAAAGTTCGTTATAACAGAAATGCACTCACACTATCAAGCAGCAAGTCATGACTGGCACATGGCCCATACCTGTATGAATGCACTTGGATTACATGCGGCACTTCAAGGTTCTGGTTTGTTATAAACGAAAATGGTTCGCTACAAAGGGTCAATTTTGTATGGGTTCAAACAGGGACATGAACAATGGTTCGCTAAATCACGAAATTCGCTATGTGAGTTCGTCATAAGTGGAGTCGACTGTATACGTGTGCTGCACCATGATCTTATTTGCATTTTCATATGAACGGGAACTGCTCCGGCAGGATGATTCCGCTGACTAAGGATGCCCTCATCAATCGTCAATGATTCACAAGTTTTAATGGCAATGAATAAAACAAATTGTGCATTCATAGCAATGTTAAAGGTTAGTGGTTTTGGAAATTAGTACATTTATCTTTTTACATTGTTATGAATGCACACTTTGTTTTATTCATTGCCATTTTACGCTTACTGTCCGTTCATGACCCCAGAGCTCTTGGCACTCATCCATATGGGCCGCCAGAGGAAATCAGCTTTTCGTCGATATCGCGCCAGTGGCTGCACTGACACTACATTACAGCGATGTTTTACCTCTCTGAGAACTCGGTGCAACAATCTCTACCGTCGACTTGGAAATTCCTATTTCCAGAATGTGTGCCTAAAATATAAACAGAGCCCAAAGCTGTTGTGATCCACTATCAACCACATAACTAATCGATGTCGTTCCCACATCCCTCCTGCGGTTGCAGCTGACGAGTTGAACACCTTCTTCCATAAGATAGTGACTGATCCAAATCCCAGGTACGACATCCCAGATTGCCCCCCGCCTCAATCTGCATTTGGTATGTTTAACCCTTTGTGCGCTCAACGAGCGATTTCGCTCGTTTCAAATGCGCGTCACATTTTTGATCGTCGCGCTTGACTGGTTTACCGAATTACGTCGTTGTACAACGGAAACTATGCACGCTGCATGATTCGAACCTACCGGAGGTACTTAGCGCTGATGTGCTTCATCAAGATTGTGGACTTCAGGGCAGAGGATATAAATGATCGACTTCGTAAGGTGCGATACCTTCACGACCATCTGCAGGCGGCCTGCAAGCGTTTGTTCATCCCTGGCAAGTGCGTTAGTGTTGACGAGCGCATGGTCAAGTGCAAGGGACGCGCTCCTTTTACGCAGTATATGCCCAAAAAGCCCGTCAAATGGGGCTTCAAGGTCTTCGCTGCCTGCGACGCCCAAAGCTCCATTGTTGTAAACTTTGAAGTTTACACAGGCCAGCAACCTGGAGGTGAAAATGGCCTGACTCATGCTGTGGTGATGCGGCTGGTCAGTGACGTGCGCGCCGGAAGTGTGATCTACACGGACAATTTTTACACTTCCGAAACCCTGGCCACATCTCTTCGTACCAAGCAAATATCGTTGGTTGGCACCGTCCGCGCGAACCGCACTGGATTTCCAGCCGTATTGCGGACCGACATGAAACAGTTCGAGAAACATGCAGAGCGAGGTGCAACACGCTATGTTCGCAACGGAGATCACCTGTACCAGCAATGGAAGGACAAGCGGTGTGTGTCAATGTACAGCAACATACATCAGGGCCATGAGCATGACACAGTAACAAGAAATGTCAAGATTGATGGTGCACACCAGCAAATGGAAGTGCAGAGGCCAATGTGCATCAGAGACTACAACAGCAGCATGGGTGGAGTCGACACGTTCGATCAGCTGATCGAAACGCACCGTGTGCTTCGCAAAACGAAGAAATACTGGAAGAGTCTCTTCTTGGATATGGTCGACGTGTGCGCTGTCAATGCATACCGCCTCTTTCACTTGTGGCAGAGCCAGCATCCAGGGGTGATAAGTCGACGATGCAACTTGCAGCACTCGGATTTCCGCTGTAACCTCATCCGGCAGCTGTCATCGATTGATGAGCATGCACCGCCACCGAAGCGCTCGTATCGCCCAGTGCCTGTTCCGCAGGATGTCCAGGTTCCTGTTGCTCAGCTTCACATACCTGGAGTGAGGAAAAGGAAGAACTGCAGAAACTGCACAGAAGTGGGTAACAAGCAGCACCAGTGTGTAACCTACTGCACTACGTGCGATGTTCACCTCCACATCACGAGCGACCATGACTGCTACGCCGCTTACCATGCACGCCACTTCCCGTGAAGGATATCTTATCTCAGTGCTGTGAGTTTCTATCTTGTCTACAGTATATTTGTACATAAAAGTATGGTTTCATTTCCTTCCTATGGTGCGCTCTGTAAATAACGCGGCTATACACTTGCTTACCATGCACGCCACTTCCCGTGAAGGATATCTTATCTCAGTGCTGTGAGTTTCTATCTTGTCTACAGTATATTTGTACATACAAGTATGGTTTCATTTCCTTCCTATGGTGCGCTCTGTAAATAACGCGGCTATACACTTGATTATGACAATATGTGCCTAATATGGCAACATTGGTAACCATGGCAACATTCTAACATAGTTTTTTGGATTCAGCCGAACGATTCCATTCAGAAAAACACAACTTCTAATTACAAATTCTCAAAAACTGTGGAGTTACAGGGGATTATTGTCGGAATGGAAAATTTGGTCATTTTCTCCGAAACCAGTGGACTCACAAAGGGTTAAGCAAGTCATTGTAACAGACGTCAGGGCAAGACTTGCCTCCCTCGACAGCAGCAAAGCACCAGGACCCGATTGTCTTCTTCCCAGTATCCTGAAGGCCACATCCAATGTTATTGCACCTTCTATATCAGCCATTTTCAATACTTCTCTTCAATCTACGACTTTCCCTCATCTTCTTTTAAATCGCTAATATCACCCCCATTCTTAAATCCCGGCACGGTGATCACACCTCTCTGTCCAACTATCGCCCAGTGTCGCTTACGAGCATTCTCAGCAAAATGCTCGAACGTCTTGCCCTTGATCAACTACTGCGGGACTTTGACCTGTATACTTGTCTACACGATCATCAATTTGGCTTCCGGCCCCAGCGATCAACAGTGCAGGTCATGACCTTGGCTGTAAATGACTGGACGTTGGCTAGAGATGTGGGTCATACAACCGTTGTAGCATTTATTGACTTAAGCAAGGCCTTTGATCGAGTTGTGCACCAGGAACTTATCTTTACTTTGCACAACTTAGGCATTCATAGTTCTGCCCTGAAATGGTTCGCTTCCTACCTGAACGGCCGGTATCAGCGTGTATGTATAGCCTCTGGAACATCATCTCTTCTCCCCGTAACCCGAAGGGTTCCGCAGGGAACAATCTTGGATCCCACCCTTTTTAACCTATATATGCGACTCTTACCTGACCTGGCTGCAGGGAGCGGTGCAAAGTTGCTCATGTTTGCCGATGACAAGACTTTGTACGGTTCCTCACGAGATCCAATAGTATGCGCCGATGTTGTGTCCTCGGCTCTCGCTAAGCTACACAGTAATCACTGGGCATGAGCATTAATGTTGACAAAACCGTGGTCATGAGGATCTTGCCGAAGAATGCTCCTGACGTACAAAGACCCATTCTTGTAGAGCTGGGTGGCACTACCCTAAGGGAAGTGAGTGTAATTTGCTGCCTTGGTATCCTTACCGATAACAAGCTCTCATTTGTTCCACACGTAGATCACCTCACCAGCAAGGTGTCACGCAAAATAGGCGCGTTGCGACGCACCTTCCGCCAAATGGCAGCGTTTGCCCGTCGCCAGTACCTGCTTAGTGTGATTCAGCCCGACTTTGAACATTGTTTCCCTGTTTACGCATCTCACCTATCAGCACAGTCCAGGGAGAGATTGTTTACCTTGTTCCGTAGAGCTGTACGAGTTACCTGCGGTGCTTCATACCATGCTGCTGTTCCACCCCTTCTTGCTTCTCTTCAAATAAAACACCTTGAATATCGATACATTTATCAATTTCTTACATTTACGTTTATGTGTCATATTGTTCAGCCTGCATCATGCCTACGCAGTCTTTTCCCTTTGCCCACCTTTAAGCGGTCAACTCGTGGAACCACAACAAGCAATTTGTCAATTTGCTTGTATAAATCCATGGTAGGGTACAATTGGTTTTCCTCCAGAGCATCCCTTATGTGGAATGCCCTCCCTGCTCACTTGAAAGGAAGTGAGGACATTAGATCATTTTCTACAGAACTTTTGCATGCTCTAAATGACGACAAATTGACTATATCCCTATATCCCCTCCTTTTTGAAAATGTATTTCACCAATAAAATAAGGCTTGGAATTTTTTAAACGTGCATATCGACGGACTTGCCCCTTCTGTTCATGCATTGCCCTGCTCTAGTAATGGTTCATGAATCCGCCCAGTCCACATTCCTTCTCCGTTTCTCTCCGTTTTTCTTTCCTTTCAGTTACATCTTCCTCTCTGCTCTGTTTTATTTTCTCTTTTCGTTCGTCCCTCTTGATATTTGTACTTTGTACTGGTGAGGCAACGAACTGAAATAATAAAAACCAAACCACACTGTCTCCTCGATTCACAAATTGGCAGTGGCAAATTGTGTCATCCTTTGCTCCTCCGTTTAGTGGTCCTTGTAAACTGGTGGCTGCCTTGTCAGAGTGGTCCTCTTGTTATTGGTATGGCTAACTCACTGTACAGCAATAATGGTCATCAAACAACTGTAAGCCATGGCCTGCACAAACATTGACTTTGTAATCGACCCAACATTCCCGCCGCCGTATCTATGCGGCACATGTTAGCAGCTACCATGTCTCCATTTTACTTTGTTGCTGCAGGTGTTGCTGCTGGCCTGGGGCTTAGAGCGGCTCTTCTCAGCGGGCAGGTAAGCGGCATGGTGAGTATCATTGGTACGCCTGCCGAGGAAAGTGGCGGTGGCAAGATCGACTTGATCAAGGCCGATGCGTTTGCAGGCGTGGACGCAGCGCTAATGGCACACCCGGACCAGTTGAACATGATGGCGCCCATTGCTCTTGGCTACAACACGGCCCTGGTGACGTTCACGGGCCGTGCCGCACATGCGGCGGCCGCGCCGTGGGATGGCCTCAATGCGCTGGACGCAGCCATCAACGCCTACACGTCGCTGTCCATGCTCCGGCAGCAGATGAAGCCGGACTGCCGCATGCACGCTGTCATCACCGAGGGTGGTGTTAAGCCCAATATCATACCTGAAAGGGCAGTGCTGAAGTACACCGTGCGCTCCACGTGTCTACAGGAGCTTTCCGCTTTGAAAGAGAAAACCATTGCCATCATGAAGGCAGCTGGACAGGCAACAGGCTGTGACGTAGACATAGAGTTTGCTAATAATGAAGAGCCTTCTCATTATTCCGATGTTATCCATAATCCATGTTTGGTAGAGCGGTTTCAACAGCACTGGGAGATGCTTGGGGAAAGGGATGGAGCAGCAGCTGCGGTAGTCGCTCCGAATCAAGTTTGGGCTTCAACAGACATGGGGAACGTGTCTCATGTCGTTCCGTCCATCCACCCGACGTTTAGCATTGGCACCAGTGCCAATATCCACACGAGGGAATTCACGGCTGCCGCCATGACTGAAGAGGCACACAAGGCAACTCGTACGGTTGCCAAGGCGATGGCTATGGTTGGCTGGGACATTATGTCAGATGAGCAAGTTCTGGTCCGAGTGAAGCAGGGCTTTAGGCAACAGATACCACCAAGTGAATGAGTTGCCTCTAATAGGGGTTGGATTTTTGGAAATTTACTGAGAGCCCCCCCCCCCCCCATGCCCCGATTCTTTCGGCTTTTCGACGCGCTGGTGTCCATAGTGTTTGTGCTAACTAGTATATGTGTCACCTAATGTTTTAGCCTCATTTGCTCTATATACTACTGACTTATTTTTGTCTTTGAGATTCAAGTCTTAGTGACGATATATCCACTGGTTAACCGCTTTTGTCCATTTGTGGCATTTGGCAGAACGTCTACTTGTGCGGACTGCGCATTCAGCTTTATTTATTTCTAGATTACATCTCACTCATTGTCATTCATTTAGCCTATATTATAACTTCAGCATCTTTCCTCAACGAGATTTCACAAGTACTTCTTTTTTAAGTACATTTCAATTTCTTCTTTTATGTGTGCGTGTGCCTTGTGACTCATGCATCAATCCAACCAGGGCTGTAACCACTGAAAGTGACAGAGCGTAGTGCTGCGGCCCGTAACGCTGGCAACAAAATCAGCTTTTGTCACTTTTAGTTTTACATTGCATGATTATTCATTCGACTTACCAAAAGCTACTCACCTCCCACCGCTTAGGAGCTGCATCTGCGCCTTGATCCAAGAGGGTGGTGGCGTTCCTGCGGATGCGGAAAACTGGGCCTTTGGCCGAGTCTCACGCGAACCGTGAAATTTTTTTTATTTATTTTTTTACCAAAAGCCCTATGCGTGATGCATTGCCTGAGTGTAATCACTAATGAGTCGACATCTGTGTTGGTTTATGGAATAACGTTACACTGTATGGTTCATTGCTATCCGATGAGTATCAATTGACTGTATGGTTCATTGCTATCTGATGAGTATCTGTATGGTTCATTGCTATCCGATGAGTATCAGTTGAAGTAAAACTGCGGGCTACATTACCATTGGCATGATGTACTCCATGTTTGGAGCAATGCACAATTCCACAACTCGTGATACACAAACTAACTCCACCACCCTTATTCAATCTCAAGCCGGCTACAACCTAGTCATCTGCTGTAATTTCCCCTCGCCACGGCCCCTCCCCGAACGAACACACATGTATGCCGGCCATTCCCATCGGTACTTTGTCTAGAGCGCACCGGCATTTATAAACTTTTTTTGTTGCTCATTGATGAAGCTGATAGCACTTCTACCCCTTAGCCCTCTCTCCCAATTAGAAAAAACATCTTTCATCATCATTAACATTTATGGACGACCATTCATGCTGTATAGAGAGATTTTAAACAATTACATCATCAGTTGAAATGCTGTGGCGGGCTCGCGGCACAGCGCTGCACTTGCAACTCACGCTGCAAACTTGGCGCCCGATAGAAAATCCGCTAAATCACCCCATGAAATAATTCGCATGACCTCTACTTCACAATATACAGCATTTCACCAGTTGGCAAAGTAACCGCCGGCTAAATCAATACCAAAATAATGAGGGGGGTTGGCTGCTGCAAAGTCTGATTGAGTGCAAAGCGATGGGACTCTGAGTGGCAACACCTGCTGGATAACAAAAACTTTAATGGACAGTGGCAACTGAGAATCGCACCCTCTAAACGTTCTGTGCACAGATTGGGTTGGGAGTTAGGAGAAGAAGAAGAAAAAGGAAGTTGAAACAGCCACTCATGCAGAAACTTGACTTTCAACAAAACGAAAAAACGAACCGAGACAAACTAAATGACCATAAGTGACAATCTTGGCCAGCTATATCAATAGAACGTCCAGAAAATCGAGCACAACAAAGGGATCCGCATTAACTCCTTGGCGGACAGCTCCAATGTTGGAAATAGTGATACATGTAGTAGGCAAGAGAGCACGTGCCACCGCACAGAGTCCAGTTTCCAGTGTGTTTCATCGATTAGACATCTGTAGCAGTCCCACGCAGGTACCAAACCAGAAGAATGTTCAGGTCAGGATTCGACTCTACATAGGAAGCAAATCCACTTACAGACAGATCCGAGCTCTGGGACATCTTGTACAGAAAGCGTTCAACGCTGTCTGTTGACACATCACTAAAGCCACGCCTGTGCATTGCATCTAGAATTCCAGTCGTAGAGAGCTGATCCTGACCATCCGACAATGCTTCAAATGCATCTGAAACGACCTGTGCAGCATTCGGAACTTTCGTTGCCAAATCCAGTGTTCCTACAACATACTCTCGATATCTCAGCTCCTCACGGCCATCAGAACAAGTGTCATACTCCTTAAAGAGAAGAAGAGCGTGTTCACGAATTGGCCAGGCAAGATGCATCATGAACTCGTTGCTGCTGACAACACCACTCTTGCTTGTGTTCATTTGAATGAAGCGCTCCAAGACCACCTGGAGGGCAGGCAAGCGCACACCAAAGAGCCTGTTGATTAGGTCGTATTCAATCAAGGCCGCATCCAGTGGCAAACCTGCTCCATGGACTTTCTCCATCAGCGACAGCTCCTCTCGCGAATAGTCCATACATGGCAGGTCAGCAGCTTTGGTCATGACAGCACGCACATTCCGCGAGTACAACCGAGCATCCTGGCGTTCTTCTTCAGACGGACGGTACACAGGCAGATACTCAACTTCAAACGTGTTGTGCCACTGGCACATCAGCAGCAGAACTATCTTTGGCACAGTGTTTCCATGGTTACCCCACACTCCAACCTGCGGCTTGCCAAAGCGAAATATCACTGGCTGCACAGGATAGCCTGGTTGGAAGGCGCCGGTCTTGAAGCTCAGCAAGGCATCAGCGTTGTGCGTTGTGCCTTCGGGAAAGATAACGATTGGCAGCCAGCGGCCAGGCGAGGTGATGCGCTTTGTCATCTCCTCGACCGTGCTGCCCCCCCGGACACTGCCACCTACCCAAATAGGCTCGCACGCTTTGATGCAACTGCTGACATAGAGGAAGTTCTGATTCTCCACTCGAGAAATCACCATGCCGTACGTGAACAGCATTACCATCCATGTCTCCATGATACACGAGTGTGGGGCAACTACTGTGATGGGTGCCTCAGCTGCACTGGCACGCCTGCCCTTGACCGGCACATGATAGAAACCGAATGCGCAGAACACCCAGAGTCGTACAATTGGCGGGGCAATGGTCGTGACGATGTACTTCTGCCACGGCTGCATGTGCTGGCCTGGTTTCCAGCCACTGCTGGAGAGGCGAACACATACGTACAACGCCAGCATGAACACGGGCGTCAGTAGCAGGCGGATAGGCAACAGCAGCAGGACACCTGCAAACAGCTTGACGTACATCCATATGGTGTAGTCTATCCGATGTACAAACGGATTTCCACTCTTCGCAGGCTCTGGCAGCCGGCGAACACCCCGCGCCATGTCCGACGCGGCTGGTCGACTTCCTGCTTCACAGGACGGCGACGTCGGTGCACGACACCGGACGTGTGTGGACAGCGGAAGAGTCGCCGCACCCTGCGCCACTGCAGCGCACTATGAAGGTCCCAGGAAGTGGCACATGTAACAGTTACTGTAACTAACTGTAAGTAAGGACTTCGACGGTTCTCATTTGACCAGTTATGAAAGTAATTTGTTAGTTGTGTTCAAGACTGACCGATAACCTGCGATCGCGTTACAAGTACAAACTAACAAATGAACCATAGCGAATGGGAACACTGACATCCACAGTTATTTTCGTTCCCCCGAAAAGGAAATGAATGAGAAGTCGAGAAAGACGCGCACAAACGTATCACGCAGTTCGTTGGAGCATCGCGATTTTCCCACTTGCTCGCGAGTTGCGTGCCTCCTCGACTCATCACTGTACTAGTACTAGCACTGGTATGGATTGCGAAATAGAAGAAGTGCTCCGCTACGCTGGCAGCTGCTGGAACTAACGACAGTAATAAAATAACGTGTTACTTGGAAGTGACGAAAGTAACTAGTTTACTGGTCAAAGGACGCGAGCTGGGGCCGGCTCTTGAGTCTTGTTTTCCTCCAGTGCCTGTATACTTGGTATACCGCAGCCTGACATGATTTCAGTACAATCATGTAGGTCTACCTGTCTACTACCCGTAGATTCTACAATGCAAAAGGTCATGATTGTGACATGTAAGTACATGTAAAAGTAAATTATTTTAGTTTGTTACAGTTACTGTCTTTTACTAGCCAGGGAGTCGACTCCCTGCTTTTACGTATACACTGTACAACAATGGTACAATCGCGGTCATCCGTGCTTTTATAAGAACGAAATGCGCTTTTAGTGACATTTTGCATACAAATCCCCATCTAGTATGGCGCAGTCACCCAGTTTCGGTGGAAGTGCGCGAGTTCGATTGGGATTCAAGTAGGAAGGGAGCGTCGCAGCTTCCTCGGACCAAGACCATTCGACTCAGCACCCAGAAGACTACAACTGGTGAAAATTTGATTATAGGGTATACTTCCCCTTTAACTGCTAAGCCGAGTAACGGTCGGTTAACCGGTTATAACCTATAAGCCACGGCAATCCTGAGGACTCTTTTTTAACCGTATATTTGACTATACTCATTCAAAAAATGTACCCTATTCAGTACAACGCACACCTGTACATTCTCTTGCATGCTCATTCATACATACTCTCACACCAAGAGACCAGATATGACCTTTGTTCCGGCGGTCATGTCAGCCAGTGGCGGAATGGGTCCAGCATCAACAGCACTGTACAAACGAATTGCTCATCTGTTGGCGGAGAAGAGGGGTGAGCGTTACTCTCATGTTATGGCATTTGTTAGATGCAGGATTTCCTTCAGCCTTCTGAAATCCTGTATCGTGTGCATTCGCGGTTGTAGGCGTTTAAATTTTGGTTTGAAATTTGCACCCTCCTGCGGAGCCCACGCTGCTTTGGCAGTGGCGGAGGCTCGCTTGCCGACGTAACTGGCGGAGATCATCATGAACAATGGACTGACTAATTATTCACTTGTCCTGTTTTTATAAATAACATGTTATTGCATATGTTCTTGGTTTAGTTTTTGGCCTTTTTCGTGCTTTGGAGTTGATAACATTTTCCTCACTATCGAAAAAAAAAAAAAAAGATATGACCGAGTTGACTGCCCAGAAATTGCGTACGCGTGCGACAGCCCGCGAAAGTGCACACTTTGCAACGACCTGATACTTGAAAAATTGACTGAAAAGTTACTGCGTAACCGTTATCTTTATCGGTTAATTAACCATTCATTCTTCGTAACCGGTCTGCAACCGGTTAATCGGACTAACCGTTTGAGCCCTACTATTTAGCTATTACATGTATACGAGCCGTCAGATGCGAAAACCGACCTTTAATATGGAGTTATGGGAAAATATTAATAAAAATTTAATAAGTAGGGCTCAAACGGTCACGGTTTTACCCCTAATAATACAACGGTTGACTGCTAAGCTAACGGTCGGTTTAACGGTTATTGCCTATAACTACAGTGGAACCTGTCTAAGACGACCGCTCATGGGACCTTCAAAATGTGGTCTCTGTCACCAGGTGGTCTCCTTATCCAGGGTCATTTGACTGGAAATAGCATCCCTTGGTCTTGGTTTCAGTTGTCTTTTAGGACAGGTGGTCGCCTTATCGGAGTGGTCGCCTTGACAGGTTTTACTGTATAAGCCACGGCAATCCTGCGGACTCTTTTTAAGGGGTTAACCGTATAATTTGACTATCTCATTCAAAAAATGTACCCTATTCAGTACAACGCACACATGTACATTCTCTTGCATGCTCATTCATACATACTCTCACACAAGAGACCAGATATGACCGAGTTAACAGCCCAGAAATTGCGTACGCGTGAGACAGCCTGCGAAAGTGCATACATGTACTTTGCAACAACCTGATACTTGAAAAATTGACTGAAAAGTTACTGCGTAACCGTTATCTTTATCGGTTAACCGTTAATTCTTCGTAACCGGTCTGCAACCGGTTAATCGGACTAACCGTTTGAGCCCTAAAAATAATATTACAGCAGTAGTCTGGATCCACTCCCTGCTTTTACTAAGTTTTAGCCCACATGACTCGACTTGCAGTTACCGGTACATGTACATGGAAGATCCGACATGACACTCCGGAGTTATGTGACACCAGGGATATACGACTCCATGGTGACACCATGACATGTTACATGTAGACAAGATCATGGTGGGCTTGCGGTGTAGATCTACGAAATTTTTGTAAACAGACAAGTCTTCATCCAGTCTGTAGAGGTGCGCTCACTTCTACTAAAACTAAGCCTAGTACTAAGGAACACGGTTAGTTGGAGTGCTGTTCTAGATGTACATGTATGCTGGATTACTCCCCTCTCCACGCCACTGGTCTCACTCAACTACCAAAACTGAGAGCGACACCAGTACAGCGTGTGTGTGTGCGCGCACGCGTGCGCGCGTACATGTAGGTATTTTACGGCTCCCTGCTGTCAACCGGATATGAAGTCAGCATTGCATGCAGTACAGGAAAAAGTAAATTAGTTCTGAAAATTTCCTTTCAGAATGAAAAAGTTGTGAAGTCCATAAAGCATTCTTCCCAAAATTAAAAATATTTCCAAAGCAAAACTCATTAGAAATGAGTGTGAATCAAGCTAGTGGATCAAACGTGTCTCTTTTAAATTAAAATTACCCGGCTACTTCTATTGCACACGTCAATGAAGGGGCATTCGAGACGTTCAAGTGTAGCTAGGGGTCAGCGGGTAATGGTCAACGGGTGATGCTCGGCTATTCACTATTAATTTTAATGCTTTACATAATGCTTTTGTAATGCCCTAAAAAGAAGCATTTAATGCTCACATCATGAATGCTCTGGGATAGTTAGTAAGACACATCAAACATAATTATGGAACATGACATTCAAAAGATACCCGGTACCGTAATAACAATAATTGTAAACGTATTCTGGTGCAGTTACGTAGGAGCATGACAGTCACACAGGGATAATGCCCTATAATGCCTCGAAATTAATTAAAAATCCCATAGAATGCTCAATACACACAAAATCAGAAAAATACTGAGGCAGGATGGAGACGACTTCTGGCAAAGGCAGGCAGAAGCTACTGATGCTTTACGACCTGACCCACGATCCTATTACAATGCAATCCGGAATCTGCGCCAAATGAAGTCGAACACCAACACTCCTCCTGTTCGCCTGGCAGACGATGATGGCAATATCATGACAAGCATTCAATGGAATCTCGACACATTTAGTAAATACTTCCAGTCAATATTTCATCGCCCTGACCTACCCTGTGATTTCCGTGGCTCGCAAGATATCAATGATGAGGAATTGCCGTTTACCACCGAAGAAGTTACTTCAGCAATCAGTAAACAAAAAAAAGGAGGCGCCGTGGGACCCGATGGAGTCAGTGCGGAAATGCTACGAGCTGCTAAGGACCTCCTCAGTCCTTGGCTAGCCTCTTTCTTCAATGCAATACAGAGTGTTGGTTATTGCCCTGACGATATGCGCAGTGGATTGGTAGTACCTGTATACAAACCAGGCAAGCCACTCGGAAAACCAAAAAGTTATCGCCCCATCATGTTACTCTCTGTAGTGAGAAAGGTGCTGACGTCAGTTATTACTAAACGTAGCACGGATGACATCACAGTTTATGTCTCTGAAACCCAGGCTGGATTTCGTCCAGGTCGCTCAACCGCTGATGGTGTATTTTACACAAGGTCGCTGTGTGAGCGGGCCTTGCTTGGCAACTGGACATATTCCGTCACCCTTCTAGATTTCTCTGGTGCTTTTGACACTATAATTCGCACCACAGCACTTGACAGGTTAGAGGAAGCAGATATCAGCACAACAACCATTAAGTCTCTACTTTCCAACACGACAGCCAGGATCAAGCTGAGTGGCTCCCTGAGTCCCCCTTTCCCAACTAACATCGGAGTGGTCCAGGGAGACCCGATGTCCCCTATTATGTTCATAACATATGCAGAAGGCACAATGCGCAAGATCAGGGAAAGATGCACAATTCGCTCACCAATGCCTGCTCCAACAACGCAGTACGCTGACGATACTACTCTGCATAACCGAAATGACGATGAGGCGAAGGCTCTTGTTGCTGAGTGTGAACCTATATTTAACGAAGACAACCTCAAGCTCAATACACAGAAAACTGAATATGTTGATGTTACAAGAAACAGCAACGAATGGAGATCAATCAAACTCCTGGGTTCTCTATTGGGCTCTGCAGAAGACGTGGACATGAGAATCTCAAAAGCAAACAGGGCGTTTGGTTCGATTTCTTGGAGACGGCATTCCTTTCAATCCCGACTGTGTATGTTTAACTGCCTCATAATGCCGATCCTTCTATACAATTGCGGATTGTGGACTCTGTCCAAATTGCTGAACGACAAACTGGACAAATGGCAACGGAGGAAGCTACGCGTACTGCTGCAGATTGTCTACCCGCAACGCATCACCAATAACAACTTATACACAGAAACAAAACAATCTCCAGTTAGTGCCACATGTCGGCGACGCAGGCTGCTGTGGTTTGGCCATGTGGTGCGAGAGGGTCCGGAATCCGCCTCGTTCCAAGCACTGGAGCTATCAATCAACACAAACGACATAAAAAAACCCCGTGGCCGTCCGCCATTGCGGTGGATAGATACGATTCGGCACGACCTGAAGGCAGCGGATCTCTCCGTGGAGAGCGCTCTCCAAGCTGCAGGAGATAGACTAACTTGGCTTGACACTGTTGACAGATGCGTCGACTCTGCTCCTGTCTAACAGGTTCAGGGAAGATGCGAGCTGTGTTTATTATTATTATTATTATAGAATGCTCAATATAATGCCGGCATTACCCGCTGACCCATATTCGTAGCTCGAAATACGTGAGCTCAGAAGTCAGCATCGGTCCCATGCAGGAACCAAAACAGAAGAACGTTCAGGTCAGGATTCGACTCTACATAGGAAGCAAATCCACTTACAGACAGATCCGAGCTCTGGGACATCTTGTACAGAAAGCGTTCAACGCTGTCTGTTGACACATCACTAAAGCCACGCTTGTGCATTGCATCTAGAATTCCAGTAGTCGAAAGCTGATCCTGACCATCCGACAATGCTTCAAATGCATCTGAAACGACCTGTGCAGCATTCGGAACTTTCGTTGCCAAATCCAGTGTTCCTACAACATACTCTCGATATCTCAGCTCCTCACGGCCATCAGAACAAGTGTCATACTCCTTGAAGAGAAGAACAGCGTGTTCACGAATTGGCCAGGCAAGATGCACCATGAACTCGTTACTGCTGACCACACCACTCTTGCTTGTGTTCATTTGAATGAAGCGCTCTAAAACCACCTTCAGGTCAGGCAAGCGAACATTGTGCAGGCGGTTGATTAGGTTGTACTCAATCAGTGCTGCATCACGTGGCAATCCAGCTGCCATGGCTTTCCGCGTTAGGTGGAAATCCTCCAGCGAGAAGTCAGTGGTGGGCAGTGTGAGAGCCTTGGCCATTTCATTCTGAACGTTCAGTGCAAACAATTGAGCATCGTCCCTTTCTTCCTTGGACGGCAGGTACACAGGAAGATACTCCACATCACAGGTGGCCCACGGGCGGCTCATCGCCCGGATGAAGCTCATGTTGGGCGAGATCACACCCTTTGGCCAAATTGAATCCTCCGGCTTGTTGAACTTGAACAGAACAGGCTGAACAGGCAGACCTGGCTGAAATGCTCCCGTCTTATAGCCAAGCATGGCGTTGGCATTGTGGCGCGTTCCCTCCGGGTACACGCATATGGGTAGCCAACGACCTGGTAATCGCAGCCGCTTCTCCATTTCTTCCAATGTGCTGCTCGCAGTTCTAGTGCCACCACCGGCGCCGCCGCTACGTTCCACCCAAATAGGCTCACACGCCAGGGCGACCCTGTAGACAAACGGGTAATTGGCCGCTTCGCGCTGCGATACCATCGAGCCGTATGTGTAGAGCAGGAACATCCACGTGTCCATGACGGTTGAGTGCGGCGCTATCACGGTGAATGGGGCATCCGTAGCACTGGCGCGTTTGCCCCGCACCGAAATGCGCCAATACCCAAACACCACGAGCAGCCAGAGGCGCACGATTGGACGTAGTATATGTGCCATGATGAACCTCTGCCAAGGTTTCAAGTGCTTGCCGGGTTTCCATCCACGACTAGCCAGCCATACACAGCAGTACATGGCCGGTATGAACAGCAAGACATTCAGCGCCATGCGTATAGGCAAGAGCATGACCATGCCAACGAGCTGCTTCATGCTGCACATCCATGGTGTGTACGCGTTTGTGTCGATGAACGGATTGCCGCTCTTCGGTTCCGGTAGCCGCCGCACACGCTGCACCATTCTCCAGGCCCGGCAGTCGTGTCTTGTGAATCCACTTCTCCAGCCGCTGAGGACGCAGAGACACCTCTGTAACACTGAGCCCACTTGGTAGTGGTGGTCAGGGCAAGCTGAGCACTGTCACTTCACGGCACTGGCTCATTGGTAGTCACTGAGTCTGTACTGGTCACTCAGTACAATGACTATGTGTAACCATTTTTATAGCTGTATTCTACAACTGCGGTGTGCCGGTGTGCGCACCACGCCGTGCCGAAGCAAACTTCTTTCAAAATATCGCAGCCGTCCGATCGTGGAACACCTGCTGCACTTGCCCGCAGACACACACCACACTGTCACAGAATCATTGAAAACTAGTAGATCTACATGTAATGATAGCGACAGGATTTGATTGACGCAGTTGTTTACTAATTATTTTGGTCACGACGCACAAACGTCATTCCAACTACTGAACAATAATATAGACAGTATTACTAGATCTATAGAGCGTAGTAGAGGTAGTAGAGGTTTTCAGTTTACATGAGATAAGAGAGACTCACGCTGCTCCTTGCCCTTGCGGCCTTGCCCTTGCCCGGCCTTGGTGTTCCACGGCAAGTCAGGCGCGTAGCCGGCCGTAGCGGGCGTAGGCGTAGGTCTATGCAGGGTGGACGCCTGGGCGGGAGGGGTTTAATATGGGGTCCGTTGTGGTAAATGGCTACGTCACGTCAACGAACTCTCGATCTCGTCCCTCGCGGGCCCGGGCGTCGCGTGTTTCAGATGAAGACGTCAAGTAACATTTTGACTCGAGTAGCGACTTCACGACTCGACGATCTCGTTGACAGCACGGCGCGATATGCATGCAGGGCAACAAAACTACCGGTAACTTTAATACTTACTTCAAAAGACGAAAAAAATCGTTCAGTCGGCTTAGAAAGGGGGCCTAGCGCCTGGGGTTCGCGTGATCTGGTGATATGACAAAAAGAAAGAAAGAAGAGAAGTAGCCTTTTTATAGCTGCCTGGCAAAAGTTGAAAACTAAAAGTAGTAACTTCAAAACAAAACGTCAAAAGCCTGAATTCATTGAAAAGGAGGTCGAGTATGACGACTCTGTATTACGAGTGCCAACATCCGCGCGCACCACCCCACCCGTGGGCCGTGCATGTATCGTGAGTGCCACTACATGATGTAGCACTGCATGCAGTGCCATTACTACCGCTACTGCCGTAGACTCTACTACTGGCACTGCACTGGTCTACACGAAAACTTTTTTTTTTTAAATCCAAAAACTACAAAATTGAAATAACTCCAAAGCACGAAAAAGGCCAAAAACTAAACCAAGAACATGTACATGTGCAATAACATGTTATTTAGAAAGACAGTACAAGTGAATAATTAGTCAGTCCATTGTTCATGATGATCTCCGACGGTTACATCGGCAAGTCTACACGAAAATTGCACTTGGCAGGCCAGGGCGAAGCCTGTGATGTGGATATCTACCGGTACAGACCTCTGGTCGGTTGAGTTGCTCCCAGCACATCAGCACGTCGTCCCTACATCCCCTATGTTTTGTCCTTTTCCTCGTTTCTTTTTGTTCTCCACCTGTTTTCCAGTAGGGCTGTGTCAATAGTAAAAAAAAAAACAAAAAAAAAAAAAAAAAAAAAAAAAAAAACATGGCAATCATTATGAATCTGATTGTGTTATGAGCGCTAGTGACCAACCACTACTTCATTATGATTGTGTTATGACTATGAGTGACTGTCTAGATCTAGATATCATCTCAGACTACACTCGATCGACTACGACTCGTGTGAGTCGTAGTACGAGTACGACTCCTAGATCCTACATACGGCCCGTGTGACCATGGTGACTCAATAGACCCTTTGCGCAATAAGCGAGAGGGGTCGAGACGGGGTATGCTGTGCACGCGCTGCACACTTGGCATGCAACCAGCATGCATGGTTTTGCTGCAGGACGTGATCAAGTTTCCTGTGACAGGCTGTGTTTTCACGGTCCCGACGCGATGTTCATGAGATCTATGTACTCCCCAGCCTTTTTTCATTTTGAAGTTTTTCTAGTTCTGAAGGAAGAAGTCCCGAAATGCTTTCCAAGGACCACTGTTGGGTTCTTGTTTGCAGCAACCGTCATCCCTAACGTTAGTCTAAGGAACCTACTTGTCTTTCCATGCGTTCCCTGGTGATGCTGGCATTCCACACTCTGGAATCCTGGCTATCTGGCGAGAAGAGGGCCGCAGTGCTGCGATATCGTTTTTACAGTGTTGTGCTCGGAACACTTTGTCCATGACGACTTTCATCCTTGCTTTTGCGAAGATATGGAACGCCCTGCCAAGAGACTCTGGAGCTTGAGAAAAAGGCATGACCCATCCCTGTCTTCGCTATTGGAAGATCGACTGCTTGCTGGCGCTGCTCGAGCTGCTGTTGTTGAAGTGGAGAGAGACGCGGCCTCATCGCTCAGGTGTGCGGAGAAAGTCATCTGAGTTCGAGCTGTGGCTGTGTGCACGATATGACAGACTTTCACATTATGCACATAGCCACCAAAGTAAAACTCATGGACACTATCCACGGGCTTGTTCACTAGTGCTACTCCATCAGCTCCCTCTTCACTGTCGTCGGTGACTTGCCCCTGCGTTGGAGACGAGCAAGCATGGTGTGACACTCACTCTGGGAAACAGAGGTTCATCACTCATCCACTGGGACGCATGAAATGTTGGGCATGATGAAGGTACACTCGAGGAAGTGGTGCCCTTCTTAGATCTAGGAGCATCAGGGTTCTGCATAGAGAAGTGTTCTCTACATCGACAGAGGAGAGAAGGTAGAGAAAATAATAATAAATTTCAATCTACAGCAATCCAAAATACCCACTCAATGCGGAAAACTTACCGCTCCAACAACTCCTTCATTTTCCAGACAGATACGCACCCTCATTCAGCAGAAAACTGTTCAGTTCCTTACACAACCGATCTTCATTTGACAGTTCGTCCATGGGTTCCACAGCCATCGATGGCAAACCACTCGACACTCTCCCCTCCATCTCCAAAATGGAAAAATACAGTGTTCCACCATGCTCAACAACTGATACTCTGCACAAAAATCGAAGAGGATGCCCCGTCTCGGATCACGTGACCGTTATTTGTGCAAAGGGTCTTATAATTATTATTATTGATCAAGGTCCCATGCCATGGCATAGGGCCATAGACTAGTCATTGTAGATCTACATGTATGACACTATGACTGTATGAGTCAGTCCGAGGGGAGTCTTTTCGCAACTGCAAAAACTGTGTCATGATATCGACATGATCGATGTCGTCCCCGAGACTGCACCGTGTCTAGCCAACGACAGCTGAAAAAGGAGAAGAGAGAAGCGACTCTGCAGATCTGTATTAGTCTTAGGAAGTTAGGTATGGCTGTGTCGAACATAATTGGCCAGGAAATAGAAAAAGAAGCCGATCCACTTCTTGAGCTGAGTAGAAAGTTGTGGCTATGCCCTGAGACGAAGTACGAGGAAATCTTCGCGCACGATGCGCTGACGGAGTTCCTGGAGCGAAATGGCTTTACGGTCAGCAGGCGATACAAGCTGGACACGGCGTTCCGTGCCGTCTACAAGCAGGGCCAAGGTTCACCGCATGTGGTGGTGATTTGCGAGTATGACGCGCTGCCAGAGATTGGACATGCCTGTGGCCACAACTTGATAGCAGAAGTCGGTAAGACAGTGTAAAAAATAATCAGGATAGGATTAGGAGATATAATATAAATTAAATATAAATATAAATATGATGACAGACATGTGTTGATGACCGTGATGTCTCCTACGTGGCTCGGACTCCGGAAACGAGCCTGTACTGTGTACTGTAGCGTGCATGCAATGCTCAGCTCACCTGTCGACTATGGTATTACTAGTATTAGTTCAGACAACCAGCATGTCCGGAATCATGTGAGGAGATTTTTCACCACACCTCATGTTGCCCTGCAAGCCATACATTGTACAATTGCGAATTTGCGTCCTGCACGAAAACAACTACAGTAAAACGTGTCGAGGCGACCACTCGGATAAGGGGACCACTCGGATAAGGCGACCACTCGGATAAGGCGACCACTCGGATAAGGCGACCACTCGGATAAGGCGACCACTCGGATAAGGCGACCACTCGGATAAGGCGGCCACTCGGATAAGGCGACCACCTGTCCTAGAAGTAGGGCTCAAACGGCTACGGTTTTCACCTTAACGGTTAACTGTTACGCTAATGGTCCGTTTATCGGTTATAACCTATACGCTGCGGCAGTCGGCGCTAGCTAGTTTCAACAGTATTGTACAATATTCTTTTTTCGAAAATGTACCGTGCAGACTTACTACTAATATATGCACATGTTGCCATGCTCATTCACGCCTATTCACAGACCAGAAGCATTAAAGACGGCATGAATAATTGATTCAAATTGTCACGGATGGTACTATGTAGTGTTCATGTATGCATGTGCACATACACGATAGGTTACAAAACTGCCAAAACTCGGTAAAAATGCGTACTTCGAAAACTCGAAAAAGTACCCGCGTTACCTTTACACAAACGGTTAACCTTTATCTTTTCAAACCCTTTAAGAGCCACAGGTATTTTTCAAAATTCTGCATTTTTTCGTGTTCCTTGGATCATAGCTTCAGTTCTACTCACTCAATCCTCACAATCTAGGGCTTCCTGGAAAGGTCTCCGCAAGAGGAAGAGAATGAGGTTGATCATGATAGCCAGCACACCGTCTATCCAGCGCTAGATCGCAGCGACAGTACGAAAAATGCCCCAAATGCGTCCAATTGCGTCCCGCTCCAGATATTTCATTTTACTCGATCGTGGAGTTCCAATTTTTTCGCTGTGTACTCTTGACAATATCAACAGTGAAACCCGTGCAAATTCAAGTAAACCAGCGTGACGAAAAGTCTCAAAATTCTCAATACTAAAGTCGCACTGCGCGCTTTTGAAATTGCCGCGATAGCGGCTCAACTTACGAGTGATTTATCTCAGGAACCGTTGCTCGCAGCGCTTCGCGGATTGTTTCTCCCGACAGGTGAGAGTTTTCTCTTCGCCCTGGATATTTCGATCACTGGATTTGAGCGAGATTGAACTGAGTTACAATCTTTTGAAGTTTTGCATTCAAGTATGGGGCGGCTCTTAAAGGGTTAAACCGGTTAATCGGACTAACTGTTTGAGCCCTACCTAGAAGACCACTGCAACCAGGACCAAGGGGTGCTATTTTCAGTCGATTGACCCTGGATTAGGCGACCACCTGCTAACAGAGACCACATTTTGAAGGTCCCTTGAGCGGTCCGAGTCTTGGACAGCTGTTTCACTGTACAATGCATGCTCATAATGAGGACAGAGGTGTTTACACCCCCCCCCCCCCCCCGACCCCCTCTCTCCTTTCACCACCAGCCATAATCAATGAGCATAGGAAACACGAGCATGTGTGGACAGGATGTTATGGATTCAGCCACTTGGATCTGTGCTCTATGCAATCGCTATAGTGCACAGCGTCCAATGACGTGCAACTCCAGTATTCGTGCTGTTCCGACCGAATTTCAAGTTGGTCTCCGTCTACCTGTTCTAATGCAATGTGCACTGCACATGTACATGTACCTTCGGATATTGACGTCGATTAGTGTGGAAATTCCGGCGTCCGATCTTTTACCGACTTGTGGGAGCAGACGCGTGTGATCAAGAGTACATACCCCCAGTGCAGCCTGTGCAACGCCTGATCCAGCTCTGCGTAGGGTCTTGGTCGAGCGTAGTTGGATCTTCTGAAGTCATGCGTACGCTCCACACCAGCGAAAGGCCAGTCTCGAGGCAGGGCACGGTTGTTTTTGATCCGAGAGTCCCCGCGACTCCCCGGGTACCGGGTCCCCTCAGATCTGTACGGTATTATGACGAAAAGATCCGATTACGCTCGACCCAGACCCTATGCAGAGCTAGACTCAGGCGTTGCACACTTTGGGGGGGGGGGGGGGTATGTACTCTTGGTATGATGCATCACACCTTTGGACATGCTGTATTTTTACGGAGTATAAGCCGCACTGGAGTATACTCTAATTTCAGAAATTTTTGGTGCTCAATATTTTCGGTATGAGGACAAAAGGCCAGGCTAGGTGAACAGAAATTTTCGGTACAGAGAAGCAGTTCCCTATTGGATTATGTGTGTTAAGTGTTTGTTCGGTGTATTGAAATTTTAGGTATGAAACAGATGCACCGAAAGTACCGAAAATTTGTGAAATTACAGTAAGCCACACCTAGATTTTTTTGTCACGAAATGCAGAATGCCTGTGTATCACCATGTGTATGTGTATCACCATGTGTATGTGTATCACCATGTGTATGTGTATCACCATGTGTATGTGTATCACCATGTGTATGTGTATCACCATGTGTATGTGTATCACCATGTGTATGTGTATCACCATGTGTATGTGTATCACCATGTGTATGTGTATCACCATGTGTATGTGTATCACCATGTGTATGTGTATCACCATGTGTATGTGTATCACCATGTGTATGTGTATCATCATGTGTATGTGTATCACCATGTGTATGTGTATCATCATGTGTATGTGTATCACCATGTGTATGTGTATCATCATGTGTATGTGTATCATCATGTGTATGTGTATCACCATGTGTATGTGTATCACCATGTGTATGTGTATCATCATGTGTATGTGTATCACCATGTGTATGTGTATCATCATGTGTATGTGTATCACCATGTGTATGTGTATCATCATGTGTATGTGTATCACCATGTGTATGTGTATCATCATGTGTATGTGTATCATCATGTGTATGTGTATCATCATGTGTATGTGTATCACCATGTGTATGTGTATCATCATGTGTATGTGTATCATCATGTGTATGTGTATCACCATGTGTATGTGTATCACCATGTGTATGTGTATCATCATTGATTTGACCATCGTAGCATAAGCCGCACACCGACTTTGTTTGGTGAATTGCTTTGGAACCAATGCCCGACAAGGGCGTTAGGCGCTGCATTTGCCACCCTGGTATCACAATGGGTGGTGGCCTGGCACGAGTGAAACTTCCTAAGCTGGTGTGTTTCTCAACGAAATTGTATAGCCAGTTGTAACGCGAACGCGCGAACTTTACTATATTGTCCGGAAAATACGGTACGTTAGAAATCATGTACAAGGAACATTGCATCATTAAAATGACATCAACTTGAAATCCTGTGGCTACTGCACTGTACATAGGAGCTGCGCACTCGGGGGTATATACCCTTGGTGTTTAACAGTTTTAACCCGAGTAGCATAATGATTTTCCTGGTACTGTGCGCTTTTAACTATTACTAAACCACCCACGTTCATCTATTGCAGTCCCAAGCAATGCTGATCGAGCCAAGTTCATGATGCCACTCATGTGCTGGGGGTTTCCAGGGCTCTCAGTATGACACGGGTTACAGTGGATGGCTGCAAGATGAAATTCAGTATCATCACGATGAGTGAACTAATGGGAGAAGCGCAATAATAGCCTGAGCCTCAGGACTTGGCTGGGAGTGGAGATAAAACCACTACGGTAGTCATACAATTTGCTTATCAGGGGCGTACCCAGGGGGGGGGGGGGGTTCGAGGGGTGCGGACGACCCCCCCCCCCCCCCCCCCCCCCAATGTTCTCATCTCGCACTGCACGTCCATACGCGTAGAGTACCGATACCGTGATATCTACGCGCCGCATGGTTACATGCATGCCGATGTAGCCCCCGTCTGAAGAACCCTGCGTACGCCCCTGCTTATCATCTTCGTGTCTGCATGGCCATTTGTTGTTGTGAAGTGCTAGATGGGCGGCTAGTGTAGAGTTAAGTCTGATGTTTACACTGTGCGTACATGTCTCATGTGTTATGTGGTGTGGCACAGGCGTGGCGGCCGGACTGGGCCTGAAAGCAGCACTGCTAGCCAACCCTGCGGTGAGCGGTACCGTCACCGTCCTGGGCACGCCAGCGGAGGAGAACGGCGGTGGCGGAAAGGTGAAACTGATCGACGCCGGTGCCCTACACGGCGCGGACGTGGCCATGATGGCGCATCCCGACGCGCAGAACATGATGGCGCCCGGCGTGATGGCCAACACCACTGGCTCGGCGGTGTACACGGGGCGCGCCGCCCACGCCGCCGCTGCGCCCTGGGAAGGCGTCAACGCGCTGGATGCCGCTGTGGCTGCCTACACGTCCATGTCCATGCTCCGGCAGCAGACCAAGCCCGACTGCAGGATGCACGCCGTCATCACCGAGGGTGGCGTCAAGCCGAACATTATCCCCGAGCGGAGCGCGCTTGCGTTCACGGTGCGTGCTACGAGCGATCGCGATCTCGCACCCCTCAAGGACAAGGTAACGGCCATAATGAAATCAGCTGCTGTGTCAACTGGCTGTGAGCTCAACCTTGAGTATAGTTGTCCCGATGGCCATGTCTCGCACTACGCCAATCTCATCCACAATACTGAGCTGCTGACACGCTATCAAATGCACTGGAGTGGTTTTGGACCCCAGTACGGTGACATCGTCCCAGACCGCGTCTGGGCGTCCACAGATATGGGAAACATATCGCAAGTGGTTCCGTCCATACACCCAACGTTCAGAATCAGTGCGTCGGACGTCAATATACACTCGCGGGAATTCACCACTGCGGCCATGGAGCCGCAAGCGCACGCCGCGGCTCGCTGCGCCGCCAAGGCTATTGCTAGTGTGGGCTGGGATGTACTGACTGACGAGGATTTCCTGCGGAAAGTGAAGGAATCCTTTCAAGCTCAGCGCGCTGAGAATGCGTATTAAAACGTCCCCAGTGCTTGTGACAATACGACCAACCGTGAGTACAGAGGTACGGTTGGATTTTTTGACAGTTCTGCCTGTTGCGGCCCATGTAATTATTCCTCTACTCCCTTCTAGTTTTTCTATGCTGATGGGGTTGGCTTATAATCTTGATACTGAATCTGCATCTAGTTGAAAGAGCAGACCCACTTTTACCAGCACATTGATTCATGCAGAACGTTATTTGACACTAACTTCACTGTTTAAGTGTTTACCTAGAGACCCCGATGGGCAGGTACAGGATGCAGGTACAGGATCATGATTTGTGTTCTACGTACGTAGACGTATTTGATCTCTTTTTTTCTGGAATTTTCTTTTCCGTGTATGCTATCTTATCAATTGTGTCAACTGTTTGAACTAATTTGTGCGTCTGATCATGTCCTTGTAAGCTGCTGATCAGCTGTTTGTATGTATCGCATATGGCTGCATATGACTTATGCGAAGGCTAACCAAGCTTGCTTCAAGTGGTGATCATGGTGATGTCAACGTGAACAAGCCACTGATAAAAAAATTAGAATAGGGTACCATGTATGACGATGACAGCATGTCACAAGTGGGAGGACAAACTGTGTTCAGAATCAGAAGACTGAGTGTTCCTGTTCAGTCAGGAACACTGTTCAATGACAGCATGTCACTAAGCCAGAACAAACTGTGTCAGGAACTAGGGCTGCAAGGAATATTCGAATATTCGATTGATATTCGTTAGGAACCCGATGGAAGGAATATTTTCCCCTTTAGAATATTCACTTAGACTTCGGCGGTAATACTAGTCATGAAGTTAGTTGATTGTTCCAACTAGAAACACACGCTTCTTGCCGAACTTGACACTTGACTGACTCACGACTGCCATCCGGAGCACACGAGGAGCACTTCGCACCTTCCACTCGGCAAACCTGCAAGAAAGCACCACTCTCTGCTCAATACACAGTGTTTCGGGGAATTCACCCCTCGTCAGTTGAGCTTGAGTAGGCTGAGGAAGATTGTGCCTGAAAAGCACCACTTATAATTATACCGCACTCCAGGCCAAACCATCACCAGGGATACAACTTACAGAAACGCTTTGTTTCCAGCGCGACAAACACCTCGTGAAGCTCCAGGTAGCAGCGTGAGTCAGAGTCGCTCATGGAGTTGTGCTAAACAGACGTTGAGAGCCAATAGCTATTCGCAACGCTGTCACCTCCAACAACTAGTCGCACGTCCGCGTGAGGGACAACAATACGAATAGCACAACTCCATGAGCGACTCTGACCGTCACGCTGCTACCTGGAGCTTCACGAGGTGTTTGTCGCGCTGGAAACAAAGCGTCTCTGTAAGTTTGTATCCCTGGTGATGGTTTGGCCTGGAGAGCAGTTGTAATAAATATAAGTGGTGCTTTTCAGGCACAATCTTCCTCAGCCTACTCAAGAAATAATTCAGCATTTTGAGAGAATATTCGTTATTCGTTCGTAAAATCGATTTTTTTTGTAAATGAATCGAATATTCTATAGAAAGAGTTTGGCTAGTCCACTAGTTGTTCTGGATCAAGTAGATGTCTAGTGTAGTGGAGTCATGTCCGCTACTCCTGTGAGTCATAGTGCATTTTGTTAAAAATAATTGTTTCACCCTTAGAAATAATTCAGCATTTTGAGAGAATATTCGTTATGGATGAGTATTCGTTCGTTTGTGAAATAGAATATTCGTTGCAGGAACCCTGTTCTCAATACTGTGCAGTATGTCCTCCAACTAATACTTGTGTACCGGTACTAGTATGTCATGTATCTACTTTTAGTTGTGGCTGTCAAATTGTCAATAATTGTAATATGGCAGTGTATTGCCAACTACTACTAGTACCACTACATGACTGTACAAAGACAGGTACAGAGTAGACCTGCGACTCCAACAAGTCCAAGTCGTAGTGGCTCTTTTGCTCTGGCCTGCTGCTCGTCGGCGGTCGCGCTCACCTTTCAATCATGGTGTCAAACCAATCAAGGACATGTCGACAGTGGGTAGATTTATGCATGTAGAGATCTACCTACATGACTGCAATAACATCATTACTACATTACTTAGCTACCGTGGAGGGTGGACACTTGTGCAGCTGTGAAAGAACTACACAGGGTTCCCAAAATCCAATGCCCTAGCTGCAAGCTGCACCAGGCCATGCAGCACAAACACATCGACAGGTACATCATGTACATTCAGGATTGCTTTGACTTCGTCGTTTGAGTTGTGTTGACATTCGCTCAGTACTGACAGTAAAGCCGGTAGTAGAACAGTTGCATAGGTGATTTTTATTTATTTCTAAGGAATCTTCCAAGACGGTCCACAATGTCGCGACCTGTCGATATCATCAGCAAGGCGGTGGAAGACAAAGCTGATTCGCTACAAGAACTAAGCGGCAAGATTTGGTCCCATCCAGAACTTTGCTATGAAGAGAAGTTTGCCCATGACACGTTGACCGAGTTCTTGGAGAAGAATGGTTTTGAAGTGGAGCGCAAGTACAAAGTGGATACAGCGTTCAAGGCTGTGTTCCGACAGGGCAGCGGTGGTGCGAATATTGGTCTGATCTGCGAGTACGACGCTCTTCCAGACATAGGACATGCCTGTGGACACAACCTTATCGCTGAATCAGGTGAGCTTAGCTAATGTACTAGTGCTACATGTAGTCTATTCTTGTTTTTTTGTCCTTTGTTCTCGCTACATACAGATATCTGTACATAAGCCCGCTACCACGCAATCTCAGGACAGCCAGCTTTCCTTGTTAGGTCTCATCTTAGCATCAAAGTGCATGCAAAGTCAGACTGAGAGTAAAAGAAACTAACTCCCTTTACCAAACTAATGAGTAGTACTTCTTTTTTGAAGTAGTTATACTGGGGCCCAGGGCAGCCAGGGAGCTTCAGCAGAATACATGTACTGCCATTTCCATTCATGAATACAAGTAGATCTACGTGTACAGTGAAGCCCTGGCTCTAGTAACTATCATGTACTTGCCAAGGTACGGCAAAGACTTTTTATACTAAGTGCCTTAACCCTCCCCTCCCTCTCCCCCCCCCCCCCCCTCCCTCCCCACTCCTCCCCCCTCCCCCCCCCCCCCCTTGGGCCAAACCTCAGATAGTGATCCTATCATCCATGTTATCTCCCAATGGCGTGTCATTTTACCGGCTCAATCTCCATTGTCTATTCATCATCGTCTCACTGATCATCTCACTGATCATCTCACTGTATGTGTTGTGCAGGTGCTGCGGCTGGTTTGGGATTGAAAGCCATGCTGCAGGCAAACACAAGCGTGCCTGGGACTGTTACTGTCTTTGGAACGCCGGCCGAGGAAGGCGGCGGTGGAAAGGTCGTCCTTGTCGACGCCGGTGCGTTTGAAGAGGTCGACATTTGCCTCATGGCACATCCGGGCGCTATGAACATGCTGGCTCCGGGGATGCTCTCAACCAATCACGGATCGGCAGTGTTCACGGGTCGTGCCGCTCACGCCGCGGCAGCACCCTGGGCAGGCGTCAACGCACTGGACGCTGCCGTCAATGCGTACACTTCTCTGTCTATGCTCCGGCAGCAGCTACATCCGGACTGGCGCGTGCACGCAATTATCACGGAGGGAGGCACGAAGCCAAACATCATTCCGGAGAGAACGACAATGAAGTTTTATGTGAGATGCCCGACTGATAAGGAGGTGGGAGTTTTAAAGGAGAAGGTTACTGCAGTTATGAAGGCTGCGGCGCTATCCACTGGCTGTGATATTGAAATCAAGTATCAAGCCGAAGATCGAGCTGCGTACTACTCCAACCTGCTGACGAATAGACCACTGATTGAACGGTATTGCACGCACTGGCTGTCGTTTGGCCCGGCCAATCCAGCCTTAGAAGATGACCGTTTCGTAGCGTCCTCGGACATTGGCAACGTGTCCTATGTGGTTCCTGCCTTTCAGCCGGCATTTAGCGTTGGATCATATGTTCACGTGCACACACGGCAGTTCACAGGAGCGGCAAACAAGCCAGAGGCACACACGGCTACGCGTTGTGTGTCGAAAGCAATGGCTGCTGTCGGGTGGGATGTACTAACTGACGGTGACTTCCGCAAACGGGTAAAGGAGAGTTTCAAACAGCAGGTGGCAAGTATGTGCGTTTAGAAATTGCTGTGTAGCCGACTTGTGGTCAACCTCGGCCAAGCTTTTGTTTTGCCAGCCAGCGAGCAACCTCAGCCAAGCTTGCGTTTTGCCAGCCGGTAAGCAACCTCAGCCAAGCATGCGCACTTTGCAAAGCCGATAGTGGTTGTGATTGTGAACAACTGCCATCGGTTAAATTTCCATTGAAGTATATTTTGAATAGGAATAGAGCTGGATATCAGGGGCAGGTGACTGCTTCCACTACTAGAAAAAAGAACTTTGGCAATTTTTCTCTTTGCTAATGTGTCTTCCATATCAGATAATTTCAAAGTGTTCCACCCAATCATGCCTTAGGTCATAAAAAATTGAAATTCATGAACGGCTCTCAAGCCCTAGGCTGTGGCATGGCAATGTGATGCTATGGCGCTGTATCCCTGTCCTGACTCAGTGTCTGTATTTGGTACTCTGGGTCTTGTACTCCCTATCTTGATATGAACCAATCACGCATGCTCGGGCGTGCGCGAGCGCACACAAGCACACACACACACACACACACACACACACACACACACACACACACACACACACACACACACACACACACACATGTCTGCTTCGGACGCCATTGTAAAAGTTTGATTTTTGCTATCAACACCCGTAGCTACTATTTTTTAGGTGTTATGCTTTGGTCCTTGAGTTGAGGGTGGCCCAGTGGCTCTCCTACGAATGCGTAAAGCTCTGTCTAACTAAGTATAGGGCGGAGTGTGAATTTTTTTAATAGTTTTTTTGTGCTTTTCTCACTGACTTGACTGTCTGAGCACTCTGCGGGCCTGGGTTTTAGGCTTGCTTTCGAAGAATTGAAGAACCGTGTGTAGCCTAGGAGATGCGGGTGTGCGAGTTGTAATTTGATTTATTTTTCTTAAAATTATTTACCGCTTCCGGGTTATTCCGGCCTCTTCTTTTGTGCTGTGCTGCACAGATAAACCCACAGAAGACAAACCAGTTCTATTCATGGATTATTTTAATTTTTTTGTCCAAAAAACTGCTTTCCGCTCTGTTATTTATTGGCTGCAATCAGTTTTTGTTCACATTTTTACGTTCATTATCATGCTTTCTCTCGCCCCGCCTGGGCATCACTCTATCAGTCAAAAGGAATGAGTCAGTTGATCAGTCCGGCTCCTTTTCTTGAGCAGCTGTATGGAGAAGGAAGTTGTTTGCTCCTCCACTGGAGCTCGTGCTTTTCCCTCCGACCAGACTTGACACTTGACTGACCCACGACTGCCCGGCATCCGAAGCACACGGGAATTGCTGTTTACTATTGAGCAGGGAGCGGTGCTTTCTTGCAGTTTTGTCAAGTGGAAGGTTCGATGGACTTCTCGTACAGATTAGGGCGGAGCCGCTGAAAACCGCTCATGCATGATCATGGCTGTATGTACCGTGTACCGGGGTAGCCCCGGGAGCTACAAGTCATGTTGTTGGTTGACAGCATGTAACAAGGTGGAGGACACCGTGTTCGGAAAGGAAACAGTGACCTTTCTACAACCATCCACGGTTGGTAGAGCCCCGGTCGGTTGCGACCATCTGAACCACATAGGTTGTTAGACCCGGCTGTGACCCTCTCTATTGTTTCTAGGGGAGTTGTCTTAGACTAGAGAGGGTCAGAACCGGGTCTAACACCCATACGGTTCAGATGGTAACAACCGACCGGTGCTCTACCAACCGACTGTGGCCCGGATGGTTGTAGAAAGGTCACTGTTTCCGAACACGGTGTCCTCCACCTTGTTACATGCTGTCGACCAACAACATGTTTGAACAAAACAAGGTTTATCTAATAGTAATAGCTACATGTTCAAAGGATCAGTCGTCTACACCATGTACATGTATCCAGCTACAATAAACATGTACAATGTACAGTGCTGGCAACTGAAATCCGACCCCCTTGGCGGCGCGCCGCGCTGCCAGGGGGGTCGGATTTCAGTTGCCAGCACTGTAGCTACATGTAGAGTACAGACACTTGACCATCTTTGACCAGGGAGTCGTAAAATACTGGTATTTTACGACTCCCTGTCTTTGACATACATGTAAATGCAAAAATCAGATCAGTCATGTTAGAACAATATTTAAAAATAATAATTTATTCAATATTATTGCTGATTGTTAACATGTTATAGATCTACGCAATAGCGTTTTTTTGTCTTCTTGGCAAAAGTATAGCACGTCCGGGAATATGTGTTGCGATACCATGCTACTGTAGCAACGAACTATCGCAGCATTACGGTCAAGCCTTTGATGATGTCGCGGGCGACAGATATTATCGGTAGGGCGGTGGAAGACAAAGCTGATTCGCTACAAGAACTGAGCGGCAAGATTTGGTCTCACCCAGAACTTTGCTTTCAAGAGAAGTTTGCCCATGACACGTTGACAGAGTTCTTGGAGAAGAATGGCTTTGAAGTGGAGCGCAAGTACAAAGTGGATACAGCGTTCAAGGCTGTGTTCCGACAGGGCAGCGGTGGCGCTAATATTGGTCTGATCTGCGAGTACGACGCTCTTCCAGACATAGGACATGCCTGTGGACACAACCTTATCGCTGAATCAGGTGAGTCCACAGGCACTGCTGTACGTAGGCCTCGTCAACATCATCATCACCATGATCATCATCATTATGACATTTCAGACATTTCTTAAATTATCACATGCAAGCAATGCCATTGAAAGCCGTTTGACATCACTACTTAAGGGGAAGTTAAGGCTAAAATCAAAATTTCACCAGTTGTAGTCTTCGGGGTGCTGAGTCGAATGGTCTTGGTCCGTGAGTCGAATGGTCTTGGTCCGAGGAAGCTGAGACACTCCCTTCCTCCTATATTCCCAATTGAACTCGCGCACTTCCACCGAAACTGGGTGACTGCGCCCTACTAGATGGGGATTTGTATGCAAAATGTCACTAAAAGCGCCATTTCGTTCTTATAAAAGCACGGATGACTGCGATTGGCCCATATGTTGTAGTCTTTTGGACGCTGAGTCGACTGGTTTTGGTCCGAAAAGGCTGCGATGCAGCGTTCTGCCCTTATTCCCAATCGAACATGCTTGAACAAGCGGCCACGTGCTCCTGCGTACACCAGTCACCTGGTCACCGTGCCTGCAGGGTACAACTTACAGCCTGTTTGACCTTTTTTGGGTGCAGTCCTGTCACTCGAGTTGAACTCGAGTTGAACCTTGGTGTGAAAGTTGTCGCCTGCTGGCGTGGTGACCAGGTGACTTGGGCACGCAGGAGCACGTGACCGCTTGTTCAACCATGTTCAATTGGGAATAAAGGAGGAACGCTGCATTGCAGCCTTTTCGGACCAAAACCAGTCGACTCAGCGTCCAAAAGACTACAACATATGGGCCAATCGCGGTCATCCGTGCTTTTATAAGAACGAAATGGCGCTTTTAGTGAGATTTTGCATACAAATCCCCATCTAGTAGGGCGCAGTCACCCAGTTTCGGTGGAAGTGCACGAGTTCGATTGGGATTCAAGTAGGAAGGGAGCGTCTCAGCTTCCTCGGACCACGACCATTCGACTCAGCACCCCGAAGACTACAACTGGTGAAATTTTGATTTTAGCCTTAACTTTCCCTTAAAAACCGGAGCCAAAAGATAAACCTTGCGTGGAAACTTGTGAAAAGTGCCACAGCGTTTTAGAGAACTTTTAGTACCATTTTACATGTACATTGAAAGTTTTTTTTGAAACTGTGTGATGTGGCTGAAAATGGATATTCACACTCGAACATGACACATTGTAGGTGATCCGGTGATGATGGCAGCGTATGTAACCAGGCCGCAACCGTGACAGTTATTTTGAGAGCAGAATGGCCAATGTTGGCAGTGCGCCCTTTTGGGGAATGGTGTTTTCAGTCTGTTTGCACCAAGACGATTCACTCAATGTAAAGAAGACCACGCATCATCAGGGCTGTAGCAGGCGGTCCGGCAGGTCCGGCAGCTGCCGGAGCAATTTTGGGCCAAAAAAAAGAAGAAAAAAAGTGGAGCTTAATTTAAGGTGGCAGTTCCCCTTTTTCGTATACTACACTCTTTGGACCAGAAGTCATGAACAGCTAGGAATATCCAAACCAAACTAACAGTACTTGGCAGTGATGTTGAGGATGTTCATACCTAGGTTCAGAGTCATTTTTCACACATCTCACATAATATCTTGAAGTGCCGAACTTGCTCTCAGCCAAAATGCGTTCAAATCGCACGTCCAGGGCAAGGATTGAGCCAAAAGAGAACAGAGGCTAATGGTGCGCAGCAGTATAAATTTGCTCAGAACTCATGCAGACTGACAGCTCAAGGTGCTAAACTACACTGAACCTTGCAAACATATGTACAGTGGAGCATTGTGATTTTCAGTTTTACAGATCAGAAACGCGATGTTTATAGATAAATCAGAGACATACCAGTTGGAAGAACCTCGCTGGGATGATTGACAGTTCTGTTTAGTTTAGCACCTAGCAAATTTCACGTAGATGTGAATAATGCCCAAGATTATGATTCTATGACAAGTAAGCCCTGAGATATGTTGGCTCAAACTTGTCGGAGTCCATGAAAAAGAGGGTCAAATTCAGGAAAAGTACACTCTAGTTTCACCTTTCAAAAGCCACCAGCAGCATATGTTTCTTCTTCCTTGTGCTGTGCCTGATCCAGAAACCCTTTATTCACTGCTCTGCAATGCTCTGCAATGCTTACTTGCCTTTTGCTCCTCTTCTGACAACTTTCTACGCTTGTGGTACAGCTTTCCTCTTGAAAGACACCTAGATTTCTCTCCAACGACGGACTAACAGTGCATCCCATACGCTGTACTACTTCGGCAAGCTCACTGTGGTCTTCATTGAACACGATCACTGCCAGGAACACAGCAGTCTCAACAGTTATGGAGCTACAGAACGATTCCTTTGGACAGAGCTGTCAAATAGTGCCATTGAGTGCTTCATTGGCATTCTGTGTGGCACGACGAACACAGCCCTCTAGGAGGGATTTGTCGGCAAGATGGACATATACAGGTTTAATTTCTTCAAAGACTGCAACAGGGATAGTGTTGTTCGACGATGAAGAAACTGCCACAGAAAGATTGTCATATCCACACTTCTATTGCTGCCACCTGCACCATGAATCCTTCTGGGCAAAACTGATTGCATTTCTCGGCATCCTTGGACTGTACGTTGTGGCAAACAGATGCCCAAATAACACGGGCCATTGCTGTGACGAAGCCTGCAATCCTGCAGATAGCATTTCCAAAATAGTTGCGTAAGGAGTCTCCTTCCTTGTGCAGAAAGTACAATAGCGGGTCAACACTTCCACGTCCACAAATGTTTGTCTCCCAAGCAATCACAGTCTGCATGCCATATAAGGAGCTGTATCCTCGTCGCATCCATGTTCCGTCCGTTGTGACGGCGATTTCGGCTGGCGATTCCTCCCCGGCTGCAACTCGTTGTGTGAACACAACTTCAGCAGCATTTTTCATGCTCAAACTAGCAGTAGCTTTAGCAGCTTGCTGAAGATTCTTCACGAGGCGCTGGTAGTTCTTCTTTGCAACCGGCGCTGGAAAATCGAGGAATGCACACAATTTCCGGAAATCCTCACGGCCTCGTTCAAGCAGGCGCATAACCAGTACGCTCTTTCTATTCAATTCAAAATAACTGGATGTCTTTCCCACTGCGGGCGGTGAAGCAACAGAAGTGCAGTAGTTGCATGCAACTTCGATTATGGAGACTAGGCCAGCTCTTACATTTTCTGCAAACTGCTGATGTGGACAATAAATTCTGCAATTAAATTTAATTTCTGCAAACTAAAATTTCGGTTGTCAGAATCCAGGACTTCATCACTCTCCTCACTCGAGTCTTCATTGGAGTCACCAGCGCTCTCAATATCCTCATCTGCAAGTAAGTTCAGATCGCCAGCCAAGGGTTCGCAGCTACGAGACGTGTCAGGTACTCCCAATTGCTCAGAGTCACTTTCAGTTTGAGCACGAGATGCAGACTCGTTTTCTTTCTCCAGATCTCTGCGCTTGGGGCTCTGGAACTGGTTCCCGTAGAAAACACGCTTCTTGGCTCTGTAGTTAGCAGACTATCTCCTCTTATTGCCAATGACCAGAAGACAAAAGCTACAGAGAACAGCGGACACGCCAGTTTCCAACTTTTTCTGTACTTCCTTTGACGCGGATTTGCATTTTTTTTGTTCGTGCTGACACTGTACCAATGCTGACCTGCTGACTGCGCTGCAGCTGTACTGCAGAGCTGAGTAGCTGTACGGTCGGTACGGGGTACGACTACAAGCCAACACGGCACACACACACAAAGCGCTGGCGGTCTTGGCACACTCCGCGATCCACGCGGTGAACCGAACGAAGATTGATCGCGCTTGCGAACTGCATTCAAAGTGGAGATCAGCTGATTTTTTACAAATTCGCAGTGGGAGTTGGTTTGAATTTTTAAAATTTCCCAACCGTCGTGTTGTTTACCGCATAAAAAATTACACCAGCGGAAAGTTCATCACTTCAGGAGGAAAATGAGCCGGATATGGCCTCATTCTGACAACTTTCATTTTTTGGTCCTCTTTTGGGACCCAAAAGGGGATCTGCCTTATAGGTGTTGGCGGATAATGCTCGGTAATATGGGATATAATGCTCTCAGTAATGCTCCACAAAAGGCCATATAATGCTCCAAATAATGCTGATAATGCTCCGCCGGATGGAATATAAACACCTGAACCTTGCGGTATTGGGCTAAGAAAAACGATATAATATTGCACCCATGCTATGATAAACACATAATACAATATCAGGTAAACATGTACGCTAGGTACAAACACATACAATAGGTCAGGGTACATGACATCCTTTACTTTTATCAAGGCAGCTCCGTTAACAGCAGCACCATCTCGCATTGCGGCTATTCAAAGCATGTCGGGGGCAATTTGATATTGCGTTGACAGGCAGGTGATGAGTTCCCTTGCCAATTGGGAGCCGTTGAGGCTCTTTGCCAGGACGTGAAGACGGATGAGGCGCTGCTGGAGCGACCAGCTTGAATCCACATATCTTATCACTATTACCAATGCCTCCCCAAGGTGAGTGCTTCCATCAAATACTACGGAACTAAACCGGGCCTCTGTCAGTTCTTCCTTCAGCTGCTTCACTTCCTCCTCTAGGAGGAACGGCACGTAGAGTGACAAGTGGCTCGAGTCAGTCAATCTTTCGTTTCTGTCAGACTCCAAAAGCGGTAGTAAGTAATCAACCTTTGCGAGTGGGATTCCTGCTTGCAACATAGAACGCACAATCTGGATCCGTTGCTGCGACTCGGCTGAACTAACGGCCTCAGTAAGACCGGTGCCAGCTAGAGCCTTCCCAAGTCGTTTCTGATACGCCAAGAAGGACTCCTTGACCAGCTTCTGCCTCTGAGTTTCCCTCTCCGAACGGGACTTTCCTTGTTTGTGTCTCGCGGTAGCAATATGGGACATGATTATACTCTTCTTCCCTGACAATATTATATGGCATGCCAGGCACACTAACTACTTGCCACAGTCGCTTTTGAGCGGCTCATCTGCGAACTCCCGCACCCGTGTTTCGGCACTGATGGCCACTTTAGTGCTCTGTCCATGAGCTACTCGCGTCCTTTTGGAAACATTTTCGGACTTGGTAATAGCTGTTTTTTGAAAAGACCGCTTCCTTGCTATCGCGGCAGGATCTGCAGTTTCCAACTCGAGGACGTCACTATCATCACTACATCAGAGGACTCCGCCAAAAGCTCATCTGGAGAAAGCTCAGCTTCCTCCCAATCCCAAGAACGGCATCGCGGCGAGTCAGCCATCAGCGTTGGCTGCTAGTTAGCTGGTCTTACACAATGGTCAATGTCCGGTGAAAGTCCAGCGTTACTCTTCGACAAAGACATGTACTCTTGCTTTGATGAAAAATATTTTTTGTAACATTGTGGACGGTACCCGGGTAAGGTCTGGAATGTGTGCGTGTGCGCACCTCCACCGTTCCATGCTGGCTCACATTTTGTTTCGTTGGTTCGGCGTTGTTACCTGGATCTTCAAAAAGTAACAGTTGCTGGCCGAAGATAGACTTCCGGGATCGGAAGTTTCTGCGAGAGTTTCCACACTGTGCTGGACCACAGCTAGCTAGCATTACTGCATGCAATACTGGGCCTGGCACTGCGTGCCACGATCTGTTTGGTACCATGCATGATGTGTACGGTAGTCTATCGCTTGTAGTAATACATCGCGTATAGTAATAAATGTTGCCAATCAATGACCAACGCTATAGCCGATCCTAATCTGTTCATGACGAATTGACGATGTGTGTAGATCTACTATGCAGTCATGTAGAACGTCGTATAATGCCATTGTTGGCCTCGTAATGCTTTATAATGCTCGTAATGCTCCGGGTGGTGTATAATGCTCGATATAATGCCGGCATTATCCGCCAACACCTATCTGCCACCTTAAGTAGTCTACATCTAATCATGAATGAATGTCAAAACCTACAGGAACATGACTCTTGTCACCATGTTACCTCTTGCTGACGAGCCTACAAAAGCTAATAAAATTATTATCATTATTATTATCACTTTTCACCACTGGCTTGTGCATGTGTTGCCTCACTTCCTGCACTTCTTTTCCAGTTGACATGATACATACATGTACCGGTATGTACATGCATTAACTAGTACACACTAGAAGTAATTACTTCGAAGTAGGTGAACACCCACGTCACGTGTTTGCCAACTGAATCTGGTACTTCTCACGTTATCCCTGACCCTACTGAAGGTCATGTGGACAGTCATGCCCGTGAATGACTTTTGTAACTTTGTTCCTACTACTAGTACTAGTACCCTGTACTTCCTGAAATGCATTGATTTCTTTCTTCCCCCTTTCTAGATCCGGCTTGTACCCGGCAAAGATAATATCATTCCATTGCAATGTCCTTTCTCCTTCTCCAAAGGTCCATTTTGGTTCACATGCATTTAGATGATACTCTTGCTATACCTTCAATACTTTCTGTTTGGATGGACACAACATGCTGATGCCCCTTTTCCTGACTCCTGCAGAACATCCTTCTTCCTTTTCTCGCCCTATGTCACTGCAGTAGCAGTAAGTTAGCAGCAGCAGCAGCAGCAGCAGCAGCAGCAGCAGCAGCAGCAGCAGCAGTAGTAGTACTGTAGTATAATTTATTATTTTGATATAGGGAAGGCCCTACATGTACCGATATATGTATGAGTGTGGGCTTGGAGGGGGGGGGGGGGGGGACATCGAGGTTGGATCTTGCCGGACCAACCAAAATGGGGCTGCTACGGGCCTGATCATGATATGTTTTTTCATGCCAGCGAGAAGTTATCCCGTCTTTAGACTTTTCGGAGAGAGAGGGCTGTTTATATACTTAGCATGCACTGAATTGAAGGGCCGTAGCCGGATTTCTAAGGAGGCTGCTGCAATTCACTACAGTATTCTTGAATCGAGCAACGTCCTAAATACTGCTGGGCCGTTTTGTAATTCAGAACAGGCAATCTCTGCATTGTGTTGTTCGTTTTTTTTCTCTTGTGCTGTTCATTAATTAAGGTGCTGCTGCAGCGATAGGACTGAGAGCTGCTCTCGAGGCAAGCCCAGCCACTTCTGGTACAGTGACGTTGTTTGGAACACCAGCTGAAGAGGGCGGCGGAGGAAAGATTCATCTTATAAATGCAGGTGCATTTGCTGATATTGACGTTTGCCTAATGGTGCACCCAGCAGCTATGAACATGTTAGCACCGGGCTGCCTGTCCTGCATCGATGGCCATGCCGTGTTCACTGGGAAAGCTGCGCATGCCTCTGCTGCACCATGGGATGGCATTAATGCACTGGATGCAGTCATCAATGCATACACTGCATTGTCAACTCTGAGGCAGCAGATCCATACGGACTGGCGTGTTATGGCTGTTATCACAGAGGGCGGTGTTAAGCCCAATATCATCCCTGAGAGAGCTGCATTGGAGTTTGATTTGAGAACCCCGACGGACAAGGAGCTTGCTGTACTGAAAGGGAAGCTGGCAGCCATCATGAAAGCTGCTGCGCTGGCAACTGGCTGTGAAGTTGAACTCAAGTTCACGATTGAAGACAGGGTGTCCGATTACTCGAACATGATTGCAAACAAACAGCTTCTTGAACGATATCACCATCACTGGCTTTCATTTGGGCCTGCAGACAGCACTTTAACGCCGGATCGTTTCTGGGCATCCACGGATATGGGTAATGTTTCTCTCGAAGTACCGTCCATTCATCCAACATTCATCATTGGAACGGCAGCTGAAGTGCATACCAGAGATTTCGTGGAAACGACCAACCAGCCCAAAGCACATGCAGCCACGCGCTGTGTATCGAAGGCAATGGCTGCCGTTGGCTGGGATGTACTCACTGACAGTGCCTTGCTGAAGGAGATAAAGGAGAGCTTTCAACAACAACTGGCAAGTGTACTACCGGACAAGTAGCATTTTCTTTTAAAGTGACTTGTGTGCAGCCAATAACGTTTAAAAGTCATTGCATTGACCAAGATCACGACATAATGGCAGCGCGTTATGGTCTTACAAATAAGAATATAGTATAATGAAAGTATATGATGCACCTGTGTGTTCTAGACAAAAACTTATTGTATTGCTTGCTGTCACGTTTTACCTTCATAAATGGCCTTTCACTAATTACTAGTAACTCGTTTTCATGTGATTTCTTCTATTTTAATCAGTGGATGAATTATTATTATTATTATTGGTGACCACACTCTCAACATTATCAAATTCAAATAAATTTGCTTTGATGACATTAAAATGAATCGAGGAGACGGCGCAGGGTACACCGAGGGAGCAGGACAAACCAGAAGGAAAGGAGCAAGACAGACCATGCAATACTACCCTAGACAACGACATCACCCTGAGGAAGCTCTGTGGGACAACACGTCAACCTCCATTGATGGGAAAGGAAGAGGAACCGGCAAGCTACGGCGCATGAAGGATGACATTATGTCGCTCTATGGTGAAGAAGCTAAGAGGAACCGCAAACAATCAACGTTCGTACCGCTGTCCCAAGAAAAGAAAGATGAGATTCAACAGCTTAGGGGTTTGAAATATTTTATTCTCACGATGGGCTGTGGCCAATAAGAGAAAGAGGGGTAAACATAGTGTTGTCATAAAGCCGTCAGACAAGGGACTGAAGGGATTCGTCTGCTTACACAGTACACTAAAATGAGAAAGCCGAAGCCATGCTGGACCAAGAAGCTGACTATGAGAAGGTGGCCATGACCGTGGACAAACTGGATGAGGAGACGAGGCGTTTTGTCGACACTCATCTGGAGAACAAGCTCCCGGAGAAGCTCGGAGAAGCTGGACACTTGTCATAATTATACATAGATCGCTGTTAGCATTCCCACACTGGAAAGTGTTCTTGTACGTGCTGTGATAGTCTTATCTTCTTTCTTCTGTTTAGGTAACCTTACAGGTAATGATTGTAAACTTCAGTGTTAGTGTTAGTTTTCTTGCATTCTTGCCAAATTGTGTCTGTGTGTATGTGTGATTTTCTCTTCTTTCGTTCTGTTTAGGTCACCTTACAAGTGATGATTGTTTAGTTTGCTGGCCTTGCCAATTGTGTCACCACGATGTGTTAGTTCTAGAACATTCATCTGCCTGCATTATTCGTCGTTATGTTTCGTGTTTTTTTTGCCTCCCCTTCCTCAATGCCCTGATGATCCCCAATGGGCGAAATATTTGCAAAGTTCTATTTGGTGCAGCTGAGAGCCTGTTGCCGGAATGGCGGTATTTTCAAGTGCAAGAAATACGCTGCAATGGAGTTTGGGAATTCTGAAGAAACGTTTTAAAATGAATCCTTCTATTAAAGCGATTAATAGTATAAGTGAAGCGGACATTACAAAATGATGAATGAGAATACATGTATCTAAAATGGTTGTTCCTAATCGATTTTCTTGAGACTATCATCAGGGAAAAATCGTCTCACAATAGAGGCTATACGGAAAAACAAACTACTTATAGGTTATAGGATAGTGGGGAGTATACAAGGTGAGGTGTGAAGAAAAAAAACTAAACTAAAGTGGGAGAGAAGACGAAAGAAATTAGAAGAAAAGATGTGAGAGTGTTCCGACGGTGTGAGCTACTACAAAAGGTGAGTGAAATGAAGCTTATTTTTTTAGATACATGTATTCTCATTCATCATTTTGTAATGTCCGCTTCACTTATACTATTAATCGCATTAATAAAGTTATTGTCTCCTCGTCGCCTTTTCATTTCCTTCTATTAAAAATTATCAACCACGCACCACACCGTTGTGATCTCCGGCCGACCTCAACACGTTGCCACAGCACACCATCAGCAAAACGGCACTTCAGTTGGTACTCTGCTCCTTCAGACCAGGGAGCAGTACCAGTATTATTATACTACTCCCTGCTTCAGACAGCAGCTGTTTCGATCATCAGGATCTCACGGTCAGTGAAGGTTGATCATGAAGAATGGCTAACTGACTAAACAGATAGTGAACTTCACCCTTTTGTAGCACAAAGGGGAAACATAATGGTGCATCTTTAGGGCACGAAGATTAGGGCTAAGCAAAAAGAGATACTGGTATAGACCAGTACACTGGGGATAATACTATCAATAGCGTGTTAGTGAGAGTACAGTCCTGTAGGCTGTAGTGATCATGGTGATAGCCAGGTGTGACTTCGATAGATGGCACAGCATAGCAAGGAGCAACGCGAGAGGCCCCTGGGCATTCACCACGACACCAGGTTCACTCTGTCCACTCAGGTACTCACTCACCACACAGCATGCTAGCACCTCACCGTTATCACGTCACCATGGTCACAGCCATTCTTTAGTTTCCATGATAATGACTATGTCGTAGCTTAGCAATGAAGTGACAAACACACGCTATTCGAGAGGCCCATATGCTGATATGGGCATCATGGGGCATTCACCATGTTCACTCATGACCCTGCCTGCGCCATGGTTTGACATCCGCCTGCACCGGGTACAGGTAATGATGATTATGTGTTGATGTCGACCGGAGAGCGCAACCCTGTGGTGTGGTGTGGTGGTTGATAATAATCTGGACAAGGCCGAATGCTGCTGCTTACCCTTCTTGATCCGTCTACTGGTTGATGAAACGCATAATAATTATATTAATAATCTACGTGGAGATAAAAGTTTAATAATAGCTATGGAAAGTATGAATGCCGCAGACATCACCACGCAACATGACAAATTTGTTCAAGGTTTGGTTTTGTGTGTTTCCAAAATCGATTTTCACGCTCCGATCATCAGTGGAAATACGGAACTAAAGAGATCAAGGGAAAAACAAAGGTTAAAAATCCAAGGAAGTGTGACACATGACGGGTAACTTGTTATGTCCAGCAGTTGAAGGTCCTTGAAGCTGTTTGTATTCGTACGCATAAGCCCGATTTGTGTAAGCAAAAATAACATGTTTTAGCACTTAGGTTATTTTCGTGAGTTTGCACCCCGTGTTCATGAGTTGTTTCTGCACTGTTCATGCCCGTTTGTCACACTTGCTCTTTATTTTAGTTCTCACTTTTTGTAATACTTACCACAAGTTACCCGTCATGTGTCACACTTCCTTGGATTTTTAACCTTTGTTTTTCCCTTGATCTCTTTAGTTCCGTATTTCCACTGATGATCGGAGCGTGAAAATCGATTTTGGAAACACACAAAACCAAACCTTGAACAAATTTGTCATGTTGCGTGGTGATGTCTGCGGCATTCATACTTTTCATAGCTATAATTACCAAAATTTTGAAGGACGCTTCACGCAGCTTCATTATACTTGAATTGTTTGCAGGCAACCTGCCTACAATCAAGAGAGCACTGCATTTCACACAAATCCATTGGTATCGTTACAACGTTTCGGTCTTTATGACCATCATCAGGAATGAAGTGGACATGGAAAGAACAGCAGTATAAAAGAAGGAGGCAAGCAAGCAAAGCGCGGTACATACTAGTGACAGCGCGCGTAGAGAAGTGCAAAGCACGTCATGGCGGGTGTGCATTACTACATATACATGACAACACAAGCACAAACGGCGAGGAAAGTAGATACTGCACTACAGCAGTGATAACAGCCCAGTTCCAGTCTAACACCACCAGTGAGGTGTCTAGAGCCCCGCGCCACTCGCAGTAAGGTGGTGTTATAGCAGATCCCAGCCACTGTTGTTGTTAATTTCCCGCGCTTTGCTTGCTTGCCTCCTTCTTTTATACTGCTGTTCTTTCCATGTCCACTTCATTCCTGATGATGGTCATAAAGACCGAAACGTTGTAACAATACCAATGGATTTGTGTGAAATGCAGTGCTCTCTTGAGTGTAGGCAGGTTGCCTGCAAACAATTCAGCTATAATTATATTAATAATAATATCTTACTTGTCTTAGCAATTTCTAGGCTCAAGATTTTTGTGTTGAAGTTCAATGTATGAATTATGAAACTGGCTATAAAGCAATTTAAATTCCTTCCCTAGATTAAAGCTTCCTGTTTTTGTTAGATGAAAGAATAGCCAAGAGGCCTACCACAGCACCCCAGCTATTCTTTCTCAACATCTGCATTATCTCGTTTTAGCCAGCTGCTTCGACCTCGTGTCGGAAGAGTCTGCATTTTTTTGCGAAGTTGTGCAGCATGCTAGCAGGCTCACACATCCTGCAAATGTTCCAGCTCATGACTTCAAGTGCTCTTTGATGTGGTCACACAGTGGTGCATTACGAACCATGGGGATATGACCATTTGAACATTGTACATGTGATGTAGTAGTAGTAGTAGTATTCTTTTATTTTCCATCGGAAGCCTCAACAGTGATGAACACAACTCTTAAGAGGGCCGATAACAGAGTAGAGGGGCGTGGGGTGAGAAAAAATAATAATAATAATAAGAGATATTTAAACTAAACTAAACTGATACTTGGAACAATAAAGCAGCAGTAAGCAGTAAGCAGTAAACACAGGTATACAATATAAGCGATGCAGATCAATGAGGCCGTTTGCTGAAAAGAAGATGTGAACATGGTGAATGTATGCAGAGCTGCCTTGACTCAATGACTGGCTCATGTTGTGATATACTGAGTATGGATCTGTGTGTGCTTCCATTGGGCAAATAGATTGCAGCAAAGAACACACTGAGTGCTTTCAAACCCACACAGTCATGATCTTTGAAGTAAGCTTAGTTTCTAGATTTAGCAGTTAAGTAAGTTGAAATGCCTTTGGATGAACGAGAGTTGCATTGCGGCATTCTCAGTGTACCAGCGGGACAGTGGAGCAGAATATTGACTATTGTTGGCTGTCCCCGCTGAAGTCCTACATCTCTGATCTCAGCTCAAACTGCACAATTACACGCAGTGTACTGACTCAGGTCAGAGTTCTCGGCTTATCCGGTCTCCGTCGTTTTTCTGGTCCTGGTGCAGAGAAAGGTTGTCTTCATTCTGTTCTCAGCCAGTGGTCTAGTGCCTGGTATGGCCACTATGCCTATGGGAGCATCCTGAGGTGCTGGCCAGTGATCATATTCATAGTGATGCCTTCAACAATGTCAACCTGTCACCTTTACTTGGCTTTAGCAGGACTCTTGCTACTTCAGTACTTGTCTTTTACATGCACGGACACGAAATGCTCTGTACTGTATTAACGTTAGTCCAACATCCATTCCAGGCAGGTCCAGGAGGTAAAAACAATTATTATTTCGGATTATGTCATTGTCGACATGTCTGCATAATGCACGAGTGTTGCACTTGTCTAGTTGTACCGTACGACTACCAGTGTAATGTCAGTACTGAGGCCGCGGCGCCGCGCTAGGGTCTATAGCTAGCATGCTAGCACTCAACTAATTACTTACTTCTCAAGTAAAACTAACTGACCTTGTGAATATAATAGACCGATCCCCTTATTATACTGGGTTCGAGCACGGGGGCAACCTCACTCGCGATCGAGCTAGTTTTTGAACGTGACAGCATCTTTGACAGTGTGTTTCAGGTTTGTTTTGGAATGTCTTCTGCTTAGTTCAAGTAGTTTGCGATGGCTTCGAGCGGTGCTAAACCTCCTGCTGGTAGGAGCAGAGTCTCCGAGAGAGACATGGACTGTGATGCCGCTGCAGGATTTTTTCAAGGCGCGGGAGGGAACGATCTCGGGCCACAAACAGGAGTTACTCCAGAGGTGAGTTTTTTTGTTGTTGAAATATTTGAATCGCGAATCGTGTTGTGAGATTTATCTTGTGCCTAGGCTACAGCAGACCACATTTCTTTCTCCTTGCGATCGGTGCTGAAGATAATATTAACCTTTTTCTGGTCTGTCTTTTCCTCTCCAGAGCCATCTTCTATGAAGGTAACCGTGGTGCTGCCAAGTCACCAAGTCGCGATCAGCAGCCCTGAAGTGGAAAATCGATTTTCCAACGATCTGGTTGGACATCAGCCACTAAAGTACTTCTGATTTGCCTGTAATGACAACAGCAGCCATCCTTGGACACCTTGCAAAGACAGGAAAAGCCACTGGTGGAAGCGACTGCTATGAGGTGACGATAGCAGTGCAGTGGTGATCGCTGTTTTGTCAAGTCGAAGGGCTAGCCAACCCAGAGGAAGCATAAAAAAACGATGAGCAGTGCGTGTTATTTGTTGAGCGTGAAGAGCTAGAGGAGGACAGTGCAAACACATGGACGGAGTGGATGGTGTTTGAAGAACAGTGTGCTGTGTGCCGGCTGGTGGTGATGGTGGTCTTTGTCAGCATGTATTCGTGCTGCTCC